CTGAGACTTACTCTCTGTAGAAAGACATTGCAGTACTAAGAAACACCAAGGGGAGGAACCAGGTTTCTGGGAAAATACTGACATTTCATCATGTTGTTCTTCTACTGCCAGAATACAATTAGTCCATAACAAATGTTTTTCTTCGTGAAAGAAAATAAACTCAACTTTATATCACTTTCTTATCTGTCTGTCTGTCTGTCTGTCTGTCTGTCTGTCTGTCTGTCTGTCTGTCTGTCTCTGTCTATCTGACCTAGTAGGTCCTGAGTCATTCACCCTGTGTGTCTGTCTCCTCAGACGATGCTACAGGTTATGGGCTAGTGTGTGTGTTATGATGATGTCATATACTGTTTGTCTAAACCGTTAGGTTCTAAGTCGTTAACCCGTCTGTCTGTCTGTCTGTGTGTCTCTCTCCTTTCAGACGATGCTAAAGGTTACGGGCCGGTGTTTGAGGATCAGCCGGTCGACACCATCTACCCCGAGGAGTCACCTGAGGCCAAAATCACCATGAGCTGTCAAGCACGAGCCAACCCAACTGCCACATACAAGTAACATATGCTCTGTTCACTCCTCATAGCCACCCTAAACTCTACCTGCTGGGCTGTATTGTACTGTATATCCCTCGTCTCTCACCGTCTCTCACCTCCTCTAACCCTCCCTAAAACACATCTGCTGTGCTGTGTGGACTGTATATCAATCTGTACTCAGCATCTTTAAGTAATCCTTCTACCCCCCCCCCCCCCCCCCCCCCCCCCTTTACTCCAACCCCCCACCCCCCCCAAAAAAAAAAAAAAAAAAAAACATTGTAAAGGGGTTATCCCACTGGCTATAAGGTGAATGCACCTATTTTTAAGTCGCTCTGGATAAGAGCGTCTGCTAAATGACGTAAATGTAATGTAAAAAATGTAATGCAGCGTTGGAAAATGTATTCCAATTGTCATACTTGAGTAAAAGTATAGATAACTTAATAGAAAATGACTCAAGTAAAAGTGAAAGTCACCCAGTAAAATACTACTTGAGTAAAAGTCAAAAAGTATTTGATTTGAAATATACTTAAGTATCAAAAGTAAAGTAAAAGAGAAATAATTTCAAATTCCTTATATTAAGCAAACCAGACAGCACCATTTTATTTTTCTTTACAGATAGCCAGGGGCACACTCCAACACTCAGACATGATTTACAAATGAAGCATGTGTGTTTAGTGAGTCCGCCAGATCAGAGGCAGTAGGGATGACCAGGGATGTTATCTTGATAAGTGTGTGAATCGGACCATTTTCCAGTCCTAATAAGTATTCAAAATGCAACGAATACTTTTGGGTGTCAGGGAAAATGTATGGAGTAAAAAGTACATTATTTTCTTTAGGAATGTAGTGAAGTAAAAGTAAAAGTTTTGAACTGTGATCTGGCCATTTAGGGAACTCCTTTTGGCTCAAGAGCACATGGCCCTGTCCCCTCCTTTCTCCTCAGGTGGAGATTAAACGGCTGGGACATAGACCTGGACGATGACAACCACTACACTTTGGTGGGAGGCAACCTGGTCATCTCTAACCCCATCAAGAACAAACACGTTGGGAAGTACTCCTGTGTGGCCACCAACAACTATGGCACCGTGGTCAGCAGAGAGGCCACTGTCCAGTTTGGATGTGAGTGGAGTGGATTGGACGTGATTGGATGGGATCCCCGTCCCCATTATTATGTAACACATTATAATTGGCAGGACTTTTAGCTTTCATGCCTATGTGAGTGGAACACTGATTGAGAGGCAGCAGTGGCACATCATAACAGCTATGGAAATGGAATTTGAATGGTCAAACTTTGTAGAGCGTAGCATGACACGTAATCACTTCTGCTGAATCGATAGTAAGTTCACTTTGAAAGATGACAGTTGCAAATTACAAGCCTGCCAACTAGTTAAATGCAGGTCCTGGTTTTGAAGTAGTTTTGAGAGAGAGGTTGCAGGGTCTAAGAGTATTGGAGGATAAGTGTTCTTACATAAATGAGGCGAGGGAAAGTGTGACAGTGGATTATCCAGGCTTGTTAATGAATATGAACTCTTTCTGTCTTCCTCTCCCCACTCTCCCCCGTCACTCTCTCCCTTGCCTTCTCTCTCTCCCCCCACCCTCTCTCTGTCCTCTGCCGCCCCCTCTCTCTTTCTCTAAGACCTGGACTTGTTCTCCTCTGAGGAGAGAGAGGCGGTGTATGTGAAGGAGGGCCAGGGGGCAGTGCTGCTCTGCGCTCCTCCCCCACACTACCCAGGTAAGTGCTAGGCTAAGCTAACGGCTAATTATATGATGCTAGGTCATTGTTATGGCTAATGCTAATGCTAGATGGTGTCTCAAGACGTCTTCAAAATCTATCTTATGATGTCTTATGATGTCTTGAATAGTGTCTATGTCATGTCTCAAAGTGTCTCAAGACGTCTCAACTAAAGTTTGAAGATGTGTGAGACATGGCTGGGTATAGGGTAGGATAGGATGAACTTTAATGTCCTGAGGGGAAGATTAAAACGATACATTACACATTGAACATAATACACGTTACCCATCATACACACATGTGCACTTCATGTGCACTTCTCATATAGCCTTCTCATATAGATGATACATATTGCACATTTCCCTTACATTCAGTCAGTGGCCTACTAACCCAGCTCAGCTTTACTTGTTGCTGTTTAGGTATTTGATGGACACAGGAATGAAGGAGGGCTTAAACCTGTTCAGCTTACATGTGGGGACCCCATAGCGTCTGCCTGAGTGGAGTACATGGGCGGGGTCTGAAATCATTTTCTGTGCTTATGTGTTCAACGGTCTGTTCAAAAACAATCTGCAGTGAGTCGTGTGTCTGTATGAATGCTATGGTGCTAGGCTATGCTACGGTCTGTAGCATTGCACCTATTACATGTATCTCTATGGTAGTATCATATCCAACCTAACAGTATGTTAAGACTCAGGCCATCATCCCAGATAGTCATAACAGTGAAAATCAATGAAAGTCTGCCCCCTGCTGGTACTTGTCTGTACTACTCCTCAATGATATAGGCTCTGAGGCAGCCTCTGACACATCATATTGCATGCTATTTTCTCACACCGTAGTCCAGAGCTGAGTTTGGCACCTCTAGTCTCAGTGTAGGGATGTGGGAGACAAAATAAGCTGTTTTAGTGCCGTTTTATGTATTTTTATAGTGTCGCTCTTTATTGTTCGTCAATGGTACTTTACACTGATCCGTTCAGGCGTGTGTTAGTTCCTTTGGATCCCTCTATTTCTTTCTCTTTGATCATCATTAAACAAACCCATTTGGTATCAAACAGGAGCTCCACCAGAATACTGTACCGCAGAAATTCATATTCATGTTATGCAAATTCATCCAGCCAAACCATTCTGTGAAACCATGGTAACGTCTTTCAACTGCCGCCGCGGTTACAGAATTACAGTTCCTGAGTGAGACTTGTCCTTTTCAGCTCCTTTCACAGCATCACGACGACAGTTTGATATTAGAGCATGAAATGCTTTAGAGAGAGAGAGAGAGAGAGAGAGAGAGAGAGAGAGAGGAGAGAGAGAGGAGAGAGAGAGAGAGAGAGAGAGAGAGAGAGAGAGAGAGAGAGAGAGAGAGAGAGAGAGAGAAAGAGAGAGAGAGAGAGAGAGAAAGAAAGAAAGAAAGAGAGAGATAAAGAAAGAGAGAGAGAGAGAAAGAGAGAGCGGAGAGCACGATATAATACCCTTTCACACTACTGTTCTGAGCCAACCCCAGCCAAGCCAAGCTGTACTGATGGCCTGGTTATGTATCCACCATAGTTGCTGGAAAGGAAAATGTATATCCTATGGTTAGAATTGAAAGGTATGTACTATAGGCTAATATCCTTGGTCAGGATGATAGTGTGAAACGGGTGTAAGAGCTCCTCAGCCTTTCTCCTGGCTCCACTCCATATTGACACACCACCCCCTTCCTCCATGACTGACAGGCTGCGGATTGTATATGTTCTCTCTGTAGACGAGCTGTCATTCCGCTGGATTCTGAATGAGTTCCCCGTCTTCATCCCGCTGGATAAACGTCGCTTCATCTCTCAGACTACGGGGAACCTCTACATCTCTAAGGTAGACTTCTAACATTGACATGGCTGTGTCTGAAATGACACCCTATCCCCTTATATAGTGCACTGCTTCTGTTTTCATGAATTGTTGATGTCTGTCACCAGGTCGACTCATCTGACAGTGGCAACTACTCCTGCTTCGTCTCCAGTTCCTCCATCGCCAAGAGCGTCTTCAGCAAGTTCATCCCCCTCGTCCCTCTGGCTGAACGTTAGTTTCTGTTTTCCTCTACGTTGAGATAGGAAACTGTGCCCCATAATGGCTACCACAACATCCACCAGTATGCACATACCCCTCGTCCCCCTGGCTGAACGTTAGTTGCTGTTTTCCTCTACGTTGAGATAGGAAACTGTGCCCCATAATGGCTACCACAACATCCACCAGTATGCACATAACCCTCGTCCCCCTGGCTGAACGTTAGTTGCTGTTTTTGTTACCTATTAAAAGATAGGAATCAGTAAAGGTAGTCCTCCCATTATTCAGCATCATGCATATCCCTACGACCTATAAGATCACCTTGATCATTATCAAAGTTTTAGTCGTCACAGAATTACCTACTGTCTGTAGTTTGCTTAGGACAGAGTTGGTCCATAGAGTTGGTCCATAGAGTTGGTCCATAGAGTTTGTTCATCTTAAGACCAGAGAACCACACATGAACCTGGCTAAGAGAGGGTGAATCTCAGGGATAAGCGAGATAGGGTTAGTAGGGCGGAACACAGACAGTCTCCATCTCTGGAGTCAGAGAAACCTAGAGTTCACCTAGAGTTCACCTAGAGCTCACCTAGAGTTCACCTAGAGTTCACCTAGAGTTCACCTAGAGCTCACCTAGAGTTCACCTAGAGCTCACCTAGAGTTCACCTAGAGCTCACCTAGAGTTCACCTAGAGTTCACCTAGAGCTCACCTAGAGTTCCTAGAGTTCACTAGAGTCACCTAGAGTCACCTAGAGTTCACCTAGAGCTCACCTAGAGCTCACCTAGAGCTCACCTAGAGTTCACCTAGAGTTCACCTAGAGTTCACCTAGAGTTCATCAATTACTACTGGTTTGTGTTCTCAGTCAGTCCTCCTCGTTTGTTTGCTAACATTACCTACTACCAACCCATGTAGGCCTACTCATTTTACAGTTTAGTTATTTAGCAGATGCTCTTCTCCAGAACGACTTACAGTTAATGCATTCATCTTAAGATAGCTAGGTGGGACAACCACAAATCACAGGCATAGAAAGTTGTTTTTATTTGATTTATTATTATCTGACACAAACTAGCATGTTCTTAGACTGGTCCCAGATCTGTTTGTGCTGTCTTGCCAACTCCTATGGTCATGTCATGTTAGGTATGGGAAATACCCAATGAGTTGTCTAGAGCACAGACAGTATAGGGATCAGTCTAGCATGTTGTGTTGTAGTTGAGAAGGTTGTAGGGGAGAACACTAGTTTACTCAACAACACTTCAGGAGCTCTATGCTCTGTCATGCATATGTTTTATCATGACTACATTATCACACTACAACAGGGGCCTCTGGCTGTGTCGGTGCCCATATCTAACACTGTACTGTACACACATCATGAAGGGCAAACTGAGCTGGAAGCACTGTGTGTGTGTGTGTGTGTGTGTGTGTGTGTGTGTGTGTGTGTGTGTGTGTGTGTGTGTGTGTGTGTGTGTGTGTGTGTGTGTGTGTGTGTGTGATGCAGCACAGCTAACCTATCCTTCCGGAGACCACCATTTACAATGAAGCGCCTCCAACCAAATGCATCACCTTGTCAGCACACAGAGTGAACTAACGTATTGTTGCTGGTCTAAGTTGTTCTGCCTATGAGGGGGTGTTATGAATAAACAGGTGACTCAAGTCCAGTCGTTTCTATTTCCTGTTTCTCCACCAACCAGGCCCAATCAGGAAGTACCCTGCTGATATCAAAGTCAAGTTCCCAGACACCTTTGCACTGGCGGGCCAGAATATCACACTGGAATGCTTTGCCCTGGGAAAGTAAGTCTGGATATAGCCAGTACATTGCTACAAGTACATTTTGAAGTAGACAGTTTTCATAAGTATATTAGAGAATCAATGATATTATGTATCCTAGCTCAGACCTATAGTATGACATGGTTTATTGTAATGCAGCTGTGTATATATGTTCACATGACAAGGCTATGGGATTATACTGTATGTCTAAGCTCCTTCCCTCTACACAGCCCCATCCCTCAGATCCGGTGGAGGAAGATGGACGGAGAGCTGCCGGCCAATCATGAGGTCAGCATGGCAGGGGCCCACCTCCACCTGTACCATGTGCAGTATGAGGACGAGGGGACGTACGAGTGTGAAGCCCTCAACTCCAAAGGGAAAGACTGGCACAGGGCCCGGGTCTCTGTAGAAGGTAGGGCCCTGTCTCTAGTCTACTAGTTAAGCAATAAGGCCTGAGGGGGTGTGGTAAATGGCCAATATACCACAGCTAAGGGCTGTTCTTTTACACAACGCAACGTGGAGTGCCTGGATACAGCCCTTAGCCGTGGTATACAGTGGCTTGCGAAAGTATTCACCCTCCTTGGCATTTTTCCTATTTTGTTGCCTTACAACCTGGAATTAAAATTGATTTTTTGGGGGGATTTGTATTATTTGATTTACACAACATGCCTACCACTTTGAAGATGCAAAATATGTTTTATTGTGAAACAAACAAGAAATAAGACAAAAAAACAGAACTTGAGCGTACATAACTATTTACCCCCCCCAAAGTCAATACTTTGCAGAGCCACCTTTTGCAGCAATTACAGCTGCAAGTCTCTTGGGGTATGCCTCTATAAGCTTGGCACATCTAGCCACTGGGGTTTTTGCCCATTCTTCAAGGCAAAACTGCTCCAGCTCCATCAAGTTGGATGGGTTCCGCTGGTGTACAGCAATCTTTAAGTCATACCACAGATTCTCAATTGGATTGAGGTCTTGGCTTTGACTAGGCCATTCCAAGACATGTAAATGTTTCCCCTTAAGCCACTCGAGTGTTGCTTTAGCGGTATGCTTAGGGTCATTGTCCTGCTGGAAGGTGAACCTCCATCCCAGTCTCAAATCTCTGAAAGACTGAAACAGGTTTTCCTCAAGAATTTCCCTTTATTTAGCGCCATCCAACATTCCTTCAATTCTGACCAGTTTCCCAGTCCCTGCCGATGAAAAACATCCCCACAGCATGATGCTGCCACCACCATGCTTCACTGTGGGGATGGTGTTCTCGGGGTGATGAGAGGTGTTGGGTTTGCGCCAGACATAGCGTTTTCCTTGATGGCCAAAAAGCTCAATTTTAGTCTCATCTGACCAGAGTACCTTCTTACATATGTTTGGGGAGTCTCCCACATGCCTTTTGGCGAACACCAAACGTGTTTGCTTATTTTTTTCTTTAAGCAATGGCTTTTTTCCGTAAAGCCCAGCTCGGTGGAGTGTACGGTTTAACGTGGTCCTATGGACTCCAATCTCCGCTGTGGAGCTTTGCAGCTCCTTCAGGGTTATCTTTGGTCTCTTTGTTGCCTCTCTGATTAATGCCCTCCTTGCCTGGTCCGTGAGTTATGGTGGGCGGCCCTCTCTTGGCAGGTTTGTAGTGGTGCCATATTCTTTCCATTTTTTATAATGGATTTAATGGTGCTCCGTGGGATGTTCAAAGTTTCGGATATTTTTTAAAACCCAACCCATATCTGTACTTCTCCACAACTTTGTCCCTGACCTGTTTGGAGAGCTCCTTGGTCTTCGTGGTGCCGCTTGCTTGGTGGTGCCCCTTGCTTAGTGGTGTTGCAGACTCTTGGGCCTTTCAGAACAGGTGTACAGTCGTAGTCAAACGTTTTGAGAATGACACAAATACTAATTTTCACAAAGTCTGCTGCCTCAGTTTTGATGATGGCAATTTGCATATACTCCAGAATGTGATGAAGAGAGATCAGATGAATTGCAATTAATTGCAAAGTCCCACATTGCCATGAAAATGAACTTAATCCCCCAAAAACATTTCCACTGCATTTCAGCCCTGCCACAAAAGGACCAGCTGCCATCATGTCATTGATTCTCTCGTTAACACAGGTGAGAGTGTTGATGAGGACAAGGCTGGAGATCACTCTGTCATGCTGATTGAGTTAGAATAACAGACTGGAAGCTTTAAAAGGATGGTGGTGCTTGAAATCATTGTTGTTCCTCTGTTAACCATGGTTACCTGCAAGAAAACACATGCCGTCATCATTGCTTTGCACAAAAAGGGCTTCACAGGCAAGGATATTGCTGCTACTAATATTGCACCTAAATCAACCATTTTTCGGATCATCAAGAACTTCAAGGAGAGCGGTTCAATTGTTGTGAAGAAGGCGTCAGGGCGCCCAAGAAAGTCCAGCAAGCGCCAGGACCGTCTCCTAAAGTTGATTCAGCTGTGGGATCGGGGCACCTCCAGTGCAGAGCTTGCTCAGGAATGGCAGCAGGCAGGTGTGAGTGCATCTGCACGCACAGTGAGGCGAATACTTTTGGAGGATGGCCGGGTGTCAAGAAGGGCAGCAAAGAAGCCACTTCTCTCCAGGAAAAGCATTAGGGACAGACTGATACTCTGCAAAAGGTACAGGGATTGGACTGCTGAGGACTGGGGTAAAGTAATTTTCTCTGATGAATCCCCTTTCCGATTGTTTGGGGCATCCGGAAAACACCTTGTCCGGAGAAGACAAGGTGAGCGCTACCATCAGTCCTGTGTCATGCCAACAGTAAAGCATCCTGAGACCATTCATGTGTGGGGTTGCTTCTCAGACAAGGGAGTGGGCTCACTCACAATTTTGTCTAAGAACACAGCCATGAATAAAGAATGGTACCAACACATCCTCCGAGAGCAACTTCTCCCAACCATCCAAGAACAGTTTGGTGACGACCAATGCCTTTTCCAGCATGATGGAGCACCTTGCCATAAGGCAAAAGTGATAACTAAGTGGCTCGGGGAACAAAACATCGAAATGTATTGATTATGCAAGAATGGGCTGCCATCATTCATGATGTGACCTAGAAGTTAATTGACAGCATGCCAGGGCGGATTGCAGAGGTCTTGAAAAAGAAGGGTCAACACTGCAAATTTTGACTCTTTGCATAAACTTAATGTAATTGTCAATAAAAGCCTTTGACACTTATGGAATGCTTGTAATTATACTTCAGTATACCATAGTAACATCTGACAAAAATATATCATAACACTGAACCAGCGAACTTTGTGAAGACCAATACTTGTGTCATTCTCAAAACTTTTGACCACGACTGTATATATACTGAGATCCTGTGACTCTTAGATTGCACACAGGTGGACTTTATTTAACTAATTATGTGACTTCTGAAGGTAATTGGTTGCACCAGATCTTATTTAGGAGCTTCACAGCAAAGGGGGTGAATACATATGCACCCACCACTTTTCCATTATTTATTTTTTAGAATTTTATGGAAAAAAAGTTTTTTTTTCATTTCACTTCACCAATTTGGACTATTTTGTGTATGTCCGTTACATGAAATCCAAATAAAAATCAATTTAAATTACAGGTTGTAATGCAACAAAATAGGAAAAACACCAAGGGGGATGAATACCTTTGCAAGGCACTGTATTGGCAACATACCACAAACCCCGAGGTGCCTTATTGCTATTATAAACTGGTTACCAACGTAATTAGAGCAGTACAAATAAATGCTTTGTCATACCCATGGTATACGGTCTGATATACCACGGCTTTCAGCCAATCAGCATTCAGGGCTCGAACCACCCACTTTATAATACAGTATATACTCTCCAGCTTTCTAGTTGCATGTCACTGACTTCCCAATTTTTATGATTCAACACCTCTTCTCTCAGGGCTTAGTCCTAATTTGAGTTGTTCATGCTTAACTCAGGTTTTCACATAAATCATGCATTTATGTTGTGCGCTGATCTCAAGATAGGACTCAGGCCTCGTACACGTACTGTACAGTCTCCTTTCCTCTTCTTCTGTGTCATCTCACTCCGTTCCAGCCTTCCCAGAGTGGACTGAGTTCATCAGCAGTACAGAGCGAGACATCAGCAGTGACTACACAATGTCCTGTGAGGCCAGTGGCAAGCCCAAGCCCCACGTCCACTGGCTCAAGAACAGCCACTCGGTAAGAGTCCTTTCACATACCCTTTTAACACTGATGGGTTGAGGTGAACAGAGCTGTGCTGAGCTGAGCAGAGCTGTGCTGAGCTGAACAGAGCTGAACAGAGCTGAACAGAGCTGAGCAGAGCTGAACAGATCTGAACAGAGCTGTGCTGAGCTGTGCTGAACAGCACCAACCATAGCTGCTGGAACTGTACTGGAAAATACTATATGTTGACAAAATACTATATGTTGAAAAAATACTGTATGTTGACAAAATACTATATGTTGACAAAATACTGTATGTTGACAAAATACTATATGTTGACAAAATATCTGAGTCAACACAGTGTGGTTGGGGTTACCTGGCAATAGTGTTCGAGCAACTATGGTGGATGCGTAACCAGGCCAGCTTGGTTTGGCTCGGCTCGGTTCGGCTCAGTAGTGTGAAAATCCAGGTCCATTAGATAGAAAAGCACTACCCTCTCTACCAAGGCCAGCAGCCAGCATCAGGGTGGCACAGTTGTGACAGGCCGCTGGCAGGGGTACTCCTCAGAGTCTGAATAGTCTGAACACAGGGCACAGTGTCAAGACTCAGGGGGTAGCTTTTGTTGTTTCTGAGAGAATGCCAGCATGGAGAAGAGAGAAGAGAGGAGGAGAGGAGGAGAAGAGGAGAAGAGGAGAAGAGGAAGAGGGAAGAGGGAAGAGGGGGAAGAGGGGAGGAGAGGAGAGGAGAGGAGAGGAGAGGAGAGGAGAGGAGAGGAGAGGAGAGGAGAGGAGAGGAGAGGAGAGGAGAGGAGAGGAGAGGAGAGGAGAGGAGAGGAGAGGAGAGGAGAGGAGAGGAGAGGAGAGAGGGAGAGGAGGGGAGAGGAGAGGAGAGGAGAGGAGAGGAGAGAGAGAAGAGAAGAGAGAGAAGAGGAGAGGAGAGGAGAGGAGAGGAGAGGAGAGGAGAGAGGAGAGAGGAGAGGGAGAGGAGAGAGGAGAGAGGAGAGAGAGGAGAGGAGGAGAGGAGGAGAGGCAAGGAGAGGAAAAAGTACCTCTTCTTGTTTCTGAGTGTGCCAGCCCAGAGAGGTTGCATTTCTCACTGCCATAGTAACTGTAACACTAACCCCATCCTGAAAGAGACCCAGAAGAGAAGGCAGGCAGGCAGGCAGTGGCAGCACAGAGTGGGAGGGAGGACTTTGATGTCAATGTAACATCATACTTCAAACCCATTGTAATGCTGAAGGATGCTAGTTAATTAAATATTGCATGCATTTAGTTTTCCAAGATTTCAAAAGCATTTTGATGTTTCAATTTTAACATTGAGATTACACTTATTGTCATTGAGACACAATCTAGTAATACCAATGCATGCCATGTTAAATGAAAAAAATATGTTTTTGTGATTTTGAAATGCTTATTATAATTGTTTAATATTTATTTATTCTGTTTCCACAGTATGATAAGCATGATCTAAAGTTCAGCGGTCTGACATTTGAGGACTCTGGGATGTACCAGTGTATAGCGGAGAATCGTCATGGAGTCATCTACGCTGACGCAGAGCTGCGTGTGATTGGTGAGTTAAATACTCTGTCTGATTGTGCGTGGCTGAGTCCAATGCAGTGTTGCATGTGTCAAAGCCTCAGACGGATTGTGATTGGCCAAAGATGAAAGGTCACTACACTAGCTGACTAATTGAAACTAATATGAAAATAAACATGCGTTTGCTTGTCAGTTTTGATTATATTTGTGTTACACATGTTGAAGAACAAACAAACAACAACATATTTCAGTAAACTGAAAACTATCCCTTTTCAGCGGGACTTGATCCCAAACTGTTTCTAATTATGGTAATGAAGCATGAACCGAAGTGAACACATACTCACACACACATGCCACTTCAAATTAGTGGATTTGGCTGTTTCAGCCACACCCGTTGCCGACAGGTGTATAAAATCAAGCACGCCGCCATGCAATCTCCATAGACAAACATTGGCAGTAAAATGGCCTTACTGAAGAGCTCAGTGACTTTCAACGTGGCACCGTCATAGGATGCCACTTTTCCAACAAGTCAGTTCGTCAAATTTCTGCACTTCTAGAGCTGCCCCGGTTAACTGTAAGGGCTGTTATTGTGAAGTGGAAACGTCTAGGAGCAACAACGGCTCAGCCGTGAAGTGGTAGGCCACACAAGCTCACAGAACGGGACCTCCGAGTGCTTGAAGCGCGTAGCGGGTAAAAATCGTCTGTCCTCGGTTGCAACACTCACTACCGAGTTCCAAACTGCCTCTGGAAGCAGCACAATAACTGTTCGTTGGTTTCCATGGCCGAGCAGCCGCACACAATTCTTTAAGATCACCATGCGCAATGCCAAGCGTCGGCTGGAGCTATGTAAAGCTCGCCACTATTGGACTCTGGAGTAGTGGAAACGCGTTCTCTGGAGTGATGAATCACGCTTCACCATCTGGCAGTCCGACGGACAAATCTGGGTTTGGCAGATGCCAGGAGAACCTGCCCCATTGCATAGTGCCAACTGTAAAGTTTGGTGGAGGAGGAATAATGTTCTGGGGCTGTTTTTCATGGTTCGGGCTAGGCCCCTTAGTTCCAATGAAGGGAAATCTTAACGCTACAGCATACAATGACATTCTAGATGATTCTGTGCTTCCAACTTTGTGGCAACATTTTGGGGAAGGCCCTTTCCTGTTTCAGCATGACAATGACTCCTGTGCACAAAACGAGGTCCATACAGAAATGGTTTCTTGAGATCGGTGTGGAAGAACTGGCCTGTACAAAGCCCTGACCTCAACCCCATCGAACACCTTTGGGATGAATTTCAACACCGACTGTGAGCCAGGTCCAACATCAGTGCCCAACCTCACTAATGCTCTTGTGGCTGAATGGAAGCAAGTCCCCGCAGCAATGTTCCTACATCTAGTGGAAAGCCTTCCCAGAAGAGTGGAGGCTGTTATAGCTGCAAAGGGGGGACCAACTCCATATTAATGCCCATGATTTTGGAATGAGATGTTCGACAAGAAGGTGTCCACATACTTTTGGTCATGTAGTGTACCAACATGCTTCTGTCTGAGATCTTTTTCAAGACCTGAATAAACAGATGAATAAATTATATTTAAAAAAAATATATATATAATATACATTTTTTAATTCAGTGTCTGCATTATTGTTTGCCACATGGCCTTAAATATGTTTTTCTTGGTCGCCCATTTTATTTCAATATTTAAATTCTCTTTCTGACTCTCCCCAGCATGCGCCCCTACGTTTGATCATAACCCAGTAAAGAGGAGGATCCTGGGGGCTAAGAACGGCCGTGTGGTCCTAGAGTGTAAACCTAAAGCTGCTCCCAAAGCCTCCTTCTCCTGGAGCAAGGGCACTGAACTACTCTTCAACTCTACCAGGTCTGTGGTTATTTACTGAGGCCCACTATTCGTGGAGCATAGCCTCCTTTGTACTCATAACTCCTCTAATGTTTTTAGGATAATGTGTTGACATTTCGTCTTGATTAGACTCTTAATAGGAAGGTTTCTAATAGTTGGTGAGACACATTTAGGTCATTATAGTGTAGCTTATAATGTCTCTGAGAATCCATTATGTGTGTGTGTCTGTGTGTGTCTGTGTGTGTGTGTGTGTCTGTTGTGTGTGTCTGTGTGTGGGTTGTATGTGTGTGTGTGTCTGGGTGTGGTCTGTGTGTGTGTCTGTGTGTCTGTGTGTGTCTGGTGTGTTGTGGGTGTTGTGTGTGTGTCTGTGTGTCTGTGTGTGTGTCTGTGTGTGTGTGTTTTGTGTGTGTGTGTTGGTGTGTGTGTGTTGGTTGTGTTGTGTGTGTGTTTTTGTGGGTGGTGTGTGGGTGGTGTGTCTGTGTGTGTCTGTGTTGTGTGTGTGTTGTGTGTGTCTGTTGGGTGTGTTGTGTGTGTTGTGTGTTGTGTGTGTGTAGTGTGGTGTTGTGTTGTGTGTGTGTGTTTGGTGGTGTGTGTGTGGTAGTGATGTGCTGTAGTGTGTGTTGTGTGTGTGTGTGTGGGTGGTGGTGGGATTGTGGTGTGTGGGTGGGAGTGTGTGTTATGTATGGGTGTGTGGGGTGTGTGGGTGTGGTGTGTGTTGTGTGTATGTGTGTCGGGTGTGTGTATGTGGTGTGTGTTGGTGTGTGTGTATGTGTGTGTGGTGTGTGTGTGTGTTGTGCTGTGTATGGTGTGTTGGTGTATGTGTGTGGTATGTGGTTGGTGTGTGAATGTGGTGTTGGGTGGTAGGTTGTGTGTTGTGTGTGGTGTGTGTATGTGTGTGTGGATGTGTGGTTGTGTGTTGAGTGTGTATGTGTGTGTGTGTGTGTAGTTGGTGGTTGTGTGGTAGTGTGTGTGGTGGTGTATGTGTTGTGTCGGTGTCGTGATGTGTGGGTGTGTGTGTGTGTGGTGTGTGTGTGTGTATGTGTGGTGTGTGTGTTGTGTGGGGTGTGTGGGTGAGTGTAGTGTGTGTGTGTGTGGTGTTGTGTGTATGTGTGTGTGTGGTGTGGTAGTGTGTGTGTTGTGTGTGTGTGGTGGGTATGTGTTGTAGGGTGTGTGTGATGTGTGTGTGTGTGTAGTGTGTGTGTGTGATGTGTGTTGTGTGGTGTGTGGTGTGTGTATGGGATGTGTGTGGTGTGTGTGGTGTTGGTGTGTGGGTTGTCTGGGTGTGGGTATGTGTTATGTGTGGTGTGGTGTGTGTGTGGTGTGTGTTGTGTCATGTGTATGTGTGGTGTGTGTGTGGTTGTGATGTGTGTGTGTGTGTGTGTGTATTGTGTGTGTGATGTGTTTGGTATGTGTGTGTTGTGTTATGTGTGTGTGTGTGTGGGTGTGTGTGTTGTGGTTGTGTGTGTTGTGTGTCTGTGGGTGTAGTGTGTGTGTGTTATGTTGTGTGTGTGTGTGTGTGTCGTGTTGTGTGTGTTGTGTCTGTGTGTGTGCGTGTCTGTGTCTGTGTCTGTGTGTGTGTGTGTGTGGTGTTGTCGTGTGGTGTGTGGGTGTGTGGTGTCTGTGTGGTGTGTGTGTGTGTGTGTGTGTGTGTGTGTGTGTGTGTGTGTCTGTGTGTGTGTGTGGTGTTTGACTCCTCTACATCTCCTGGCTCTACTGTCCTCTATCCCCTTAGCAGGGTAATGGGGATGGGTTGGTTTGTCAGTGAGTGCTCTGCTTCCCACTGCTCCCCGTCAGTAGCTGACATTAAGCCTGGTCTAAAGCTCATCAGACAGGACAGCCTGGTCTAAAGCTCATCAGACAGGACAGCCTGGTGTAAAGCTCATCAGACAGGACAGCCTGGTCTAAAGCTCATCAGACAGGACAGCCTGGTCTAAAGCTCATCAGACAGGACAGCCTGGTCTAAAGCTCATCAGACAGGACAGCCGATTGCTCATGATGTGTGCATTTGTGAAGCATGACATAGTTGTGTTAATCTCCATTTTTTAGGACACTGACATTGTTGTGTTATCTTCCTCAGAATGCTAATCTGGGATGGATGGTAGTCTGGAGGATCATATGTTGTGTTATCTTCATCAGGATGTAATCTGGGAGGATGGTAGTCTGGAGATCATATGTTGTGTTATCTTCATCAGGATGCTAATCTGGGAGGATGGTAGTCTGGAGATCATATGTTGTGTTATCTTCATCAGGATGCTAATCTGGGAGGAGTGTAGTCTGGAGATCATATGTTGTGTTATCTTCATCAGGACTGCTTAATCGGGAGGATGGTAGTCTGGAGATCATATGTGTGTTATCTCATCAGGATGCTATCTGGGAGGATGGTAGTCTGGAGATCATATGTGTGTTATCTTCATCAGGATGCTAATCTGGGGAGGATGGTAGTCTGGAGATCATATGTTGTGTTATCTTCATCAGGATGCTAATCTGGGAGGATGGTAGTCTGGAGATCATATGTTGTGTTATCTTCATCAGGATGCTAATCTGGGAGGATGGTAGTCTGGAGATCATATGTTGTGTTATCTTCATCAGGATGCTAATCTGGGAGGATGGTAGTCTGGAGATCCTGAATGTGACTAGGGCAGACGAGGGGCGCTACACCTGCTTCGCTGAGAACGACCGGGGCAAGGCCAACAGCACAGGCTACCTCTCCATCACAGGCAAGCTGCATGCACACGCACACACACACACCACAGGGCAGCTGCCCTTCCCTTCCCTGAACCAGACTCAGAAACTCAGTAGTCACACACAGAAACGCCTATCTGACCGTCAACAGCCTTATGAGACTGGGTCTCAGGGGGCTGGGTCTCAGGGGGGCTGGATCTCAGGGGGCTGAGTCTCAGGGGGCTGGATCTCATGGGGCTGGATCTCAGGGGGCTGGGTCTCAGGGGGCTGGATCTCAGTGGGATGGATCTCAGTGGGATGGATCTCAGGGGGCTGGATCTCAGGGGGCTGAGTCTCAGGGGGCTGGGTCTCATGGGGCTGTATCTCAGGGGGCTGGGTCTCAGGGGGCTGGATCTCAGGGCGCTGGATCTCAGGGGCTGGATGTCAGGGGGCTGTATCTCAGGGGGCTGGGTCTCAGGGGGCTGGATGTCAGGGGGCTGGGTCTCAGGGGGCTGGGTCTCAGGGGCTGGGTCTCAGGGGGCCAGTAGTGATACCTGCTATTACCCCTCATAGCCAACACCTCAGATGAGATCTGAAAAAATTATAATTCTAGGATGTACAATTATGAACTAAATGCACTGTAGACAGAGGGGGGCTGAGTCTCAGGGGCGGGTCTCAGGGGGCTGAGCCTCAGGGGGCTGGGTCTCAGGGGCTGGATGTCAGGGGGCTGGGTCTCAGGGGGCTGGATCTCAGGGGGCTGAGTCTCAAGGGGGCTGGGTCTCAGGGGCTGGGTCTCAAGGGCTGAGTCTCAGGGGGCTGGGTCTCAGGGGCTGGGTCTCAGGAAGCTGGGTCTCAGGGGGCTGGATCTCAGGGGGCTGGGTCTCAGGGGGCTGGGTCTCAGGGGCTGGATCTCAGGGGCTGGGTCTCAGGGGGCTGGATCTCAGGGGGCTGGATCTCAGGGGGCTGGATGTCAGGGGGCTGAGTCTCAGGGGCTGGATCTCAGGGGGCTGAATCTCAGGGGGCTGGGTCTCAGGGGCTGGGTGTCAGGGGGCTGAGTCTCAGGGGGCTGAGTTTCAGGGGGCTGGGTCTCAGGGGGCTGAGTCTCAGGGGGCTGAGCCTCAGGGGCTGGTCTCAGGGGGCTGGATGTCAGGGGGCTGGGTCTCAGGGGGCTGGATGTCAGGGGGCTGGGACTCAGGGAGCTGAGTCTCAGGGGCCTGCGTCTCAGGGGGCTGGATCTCAGGGGGCTGGATCTCAGGGCGCTGGGTCTCAAGGGGCTGAGTCTTAGGGGGCTGGATCTCAGGGGGCTGGGTCTCAGGGGGCTGGATCTCAGGGGGCTGGATCTCAGGGGGCTGGATCTCAGGGGGCTGGGACTCAGGGGGCTGAGTCTCAGGGGGCTGAGTCTCAGGGGGCTGTATCTCAGGGGGCTGGGTCTCAGGGGGCTGGATCTCAGGGCGCTGGATCTCAGGGGGCTGGATCTCAGGGGGCTGGATCTCAGGGGGCTGGGTCTCAGGGGGCTGGATCTCAGGGGGCTGGGTCTCAGCGGGCTGAGTCTCAGGGGGCTGGATCTCAGGGGGCTGGGTTTCAGGGGGCTGGGTCTCAGGGGGCCAGTAGTGATACCTGCTGTTACCCCTCATAGCCAACACCTCAGATGAGATCTGAAAAAATTATAATTTTAGGATGTACAATTATGAACTAAATGCACTGTAGACAGAGCTCCTGTTGTGATCAATACTTTACCCTTCACCCCCCTCTACTGGTCAGATATGATCACTACCACTGCTCACTGCTCCACCCCTTGTTCACATCAATACATTCTTACACAGACTCTCTCATTCACAGGAGGTTGGTAGCAACTTAATTGGGGAGAACGGGCTCGTGGTAATGGCTGGAGCGGAATCAGTGGAATGGTATCAAATACATCAAACACATGGTCTCCAGGTGTTTGATGCCATTCCATTTGCTCCGTTCCGGCCATTATTATGAGCCATTCTCCCCTCAGCAGCCTCCACTGCTCTCAGTCTAAACAAACTACATGTATTTCCCTAGGTTTTAGGCCTGAAAGACCAGGCTGGTATTAGTTGAGAATTGTTTATCACAGTACATGAAATGCTGATCTTAGCACATTGTTGTTATCGTCAGCAAGAACACACAGTAAGGCTGACCACCCCTTTTCTCTCCAGAGGCCACCAAGATCACCTTGGCTCCGTCCAACGCCGATGTGACGGCGGGGGAGAGCGCCCGCATGCAGTGTGCCGCATCACATGACTCAACGCTGGACATCACGTTCGTCTGGACCCTGGACGGCCGCGCCATCGACTTCGACCGGGAGGGATCCCACTATGAACGCAACCCGGTAAGCGATTAAAAAGGCAGGCCAGAAATCTTAGTGTTGACGGTTCAAATCCCGGGTCTGGCTGGAATATTACTTTGGTGTAGTGGTATACTACCAATCGTGTAATGTACTTAGGTAAAAATACTTTTAAGTACTACTTAAGGAGTGTTTTGGGGTATCTGTACTTTACTTTACTATTTATATTTTTGGACAACTTTTACTTTTACTTCACTACATTCCTAAAGAAAATGTTGTACTTTTTAACTCCATACATTTTCCCTGACATCAAAAGTACTCATTACATTTTGAATTCTAAGCAGGAAAGGAAAATAGTCAAATTCACCCACTTATCAAGAGAACACGTGGTCACCCCTACTGCCTCTGGTCTGACGGACTCACTAAACACAAATGCATCTTTTGTAAATAATGTCTGAGTGTTGGAGTGTGCCCCTGGCTATACAAAAAAAAAAAAAAAAAAAGACAATTGTGCCATCTGCTTTGCTAAATAATAGCAATTTTAAATGATTTGTACTTTTACTTTTACTTTTGATACTTAAGTATTTTTTAGGAATTACATTTACTTTTGATACTTAAATATATTTAAAACCAAATAGTTTTAGACTTTTACTCAAGTAGTATTTTACTGGCTGACTTTCACTTTTACTTGAGTAACTTTCTATTAAGGTATCTATACTTTTACTCAAGTATGACAATTGGGTACTTTTTCCACCGCTGTGTACTACTTTGGTATAACCTTATAATACCACTGTAACTCCCTAATAGCCATTTAGCATCAGTTACTAAAAGACCCACGGACTGCTGACTGCTGGTGCCCCGTATAGTATATCAGTTTAACTGCAGTTTCCTTTCTCATACATTATGAATGACGTGACCCACTCTCTGCCAGAACAGTCTCAGCAGTAAGCAGCAGCTAGCGTTCATCATCTGTCATTACACAGATTGGAGGCATGCACAACTCTCCGTAATGGTTCTGATTGATGACCTTGCATAGCCGTGTACAAGGCTTACTTTCCCTCTCATAAAATTACAGCGTTCTCCAGTTGATGTTATTAATGTAGCGTCAGAATAGTAAGACTCATTACAGTAAGTGAGTTAATATGCTGCTTCAATTATATTCTCAATGGGAGGATTTCATACACAGCAAATATGGCTGTCATTGTAAATACAAATTTGTTCCTAACTGACTTAAAGCTGGAATCCTTAGTGGTGAAACTGCCACGTCTGTTTGGGATATTACAACAACATAAAAGTTACTGCAAACAATGAACACTGTTTTCTCCATCAGACATCATTGCACGGGCGATAGAACAGCGGAATATGTACTGCAACTATTTTTACCACGCTGCTCTCCTCCATTTAGTCAACAAAACAATAACAATAACAAAGGTGCTAGGGGGAACAGGGGTGCTATTTTCCCTAATGCGGATTCCACCTTTAAATAAAGGTTAAATTAAATTAATAAATATATATATATATATATTATTTTTTATTTTGCTACTGTAAGTAGCGTTAGCTAGCGCTAGTCGGCTGTACCTGCGCCAGAACTCCTGTATTATTTATCCTATAGCTTGTTCTCCATTTTCTTTTTAAAATAGTGAGCCAACATGTTTTCAGCACTTTTATTTCCATGGCTGATCAAAACTCATTTTCTAATGCTCTCTCTCTGCAGCAGACATGGTGAGCAATATGTTTGGAACATCAAATCTCAATAAAATCGCAGTATTGAATTGCAATACATAATTAATCGTGAGAATTGCAATACATATTGTATCGGCACCTAAGTATCGTGATAATATTGTATCGTGAGGACCATGGCAATTCCCCAGCCCTATCAAACAGTGAAAGGATACTGCAGATATTCTCCAGGCCACTGTGGTCAAATATTCTGTCTATGAAATCTTCCCATTGAGAATACTACAGAAGCACTATGTTATATTCTGCAAACAAGGGCGGAAGGGTTGACAGCCCCACGGTAAAGCTCCTGATTGGATGTGCCGATCTCTGTATCCCTCCTATATGTAGTACCATGAGTCTGGCAAGCAAGACTGTATCCCTCAGGACTTGGGAAGTTGCAGTCTTGGTACAGTAGAATAATTAGAAGTGCATGGGGCACAGTTGTCATAGCTGGAGCTAATGTTACTGTTTCCAACGACCATAATGTTATTATTATCAAAAGATGGTCCACAACTTGGCCAAATTGAAACCTATAGATTGTACCTATAGACCATGTGACACATACAGAGTGTTATGGAAGAGTGACATCAAGGCGGTGACCCGATCCTGTAGGGTCATGCTCTATAACATTCGGAGAGTACGACCCTGCCTTACACAGGAAGCGGCACAGGTCCTAATCCAGGCACTTGTCATCTCCCGTCTGGATTACTGCAACTCGCTGTTGGCTGGGCCATTAAACCCCTACAACTCATCCAGAATGCCGCAGCCCGTCTGGTGTTCAACCTTCCCAAGTTCTCTCACGTCAGCTCCTCCGCACACTACACTGGCTTCCAGTTGAAGCTTGCATCTGCTACAAGACCATGGTGCTTGCCTACGGAGCTGTGAGGGGAACGGCACCTCCGTACCTTCAGGCTCTGATTAGTCCCTACACCCAAACGAGGGCATTGCGTTCATCCACCTCTGGCCTGCTGGCTCCCCTACCTCTGCGGAAGCATAGTTCCCGCTCAGTCAAAACTGTTCGCTGCTCTGGCACCCCAATGGTGGAACAAGCTCCCTCACGACGCCAGGACAGCGGAGTCACTCACCACCTTCCGGAGACATTTGAAACCCCACCTCTTTAAGGAACACCTGGGATAGGATAAAGTAATCCTTCTAACCCCCCCCCTTACCCCCCCCCCCCCCCCCCCCCCAAAAAAAGTAAAGTGGTTATCCCTCTGGCTATAAGGTGAATGCACCAATTTGTAAGTCGCTCTGGATAAGAGCGTCTGCTAAATGACGTAAATGTAAATGTAAAGAGTAGGTGTCTGCACCAATTCATTTCAATTCAGTCAATTCAGGAAGTAAACTGAAATTCTAACTTTGGTCTGCACTAACTGAAATTGTTGTACTAATTGAAGATTGTCCTGTTGTTGTCGCTGTTCAGAATGGTGGTTCCAGTGGAGAGCTGGTCATCAAGAACACTCAGCTGAAGCACTCTGGACGCTACACCTGCACTGCACAGACCCCTGTGGACAATGTCTCCTCATCCGCTGACCTGGTCGTCAGAGGTACGTCACGCACGCGCACACACACACAACACACACACCACACCCATGCACACACACGCACACACACACACACACACACACACACACACACACACACACACACACACACACCACACCACACACACACACCACACACATGCACACAAACCACACACCCACCCACACACACCCACACACATCACACACACGACGCACACACACACCCCCACACCACACCCACACCACCCCACAACACAAACACATCAAACTCGAAGTCTACCACACTCAACGTACACACACCACCCACACACCATACAAGTCATAACAAGCTGCACTCACACACATCACACAGACAAACACACAACCACTCCACACACACACACACACACCTCGCCACAGCCCATGAGCACGCACCAACCACAACACCCACACACGCACGCACAGCACACCCACACGCACCTGCACACACACCACACCACACACACACACACACCACTCCACCACACCAAACCGCACACCCCAACCACAAACAACACGCACCACACACACAAAAAACTAGAGTTGACAAGTTGGGAGGTAGGTGAGTGCTAGACAGAGAGTGGGAGATGATTGATGCACATGTTCTCACTCTCTCAGTCCACCCTGTATTTTGTCAAATTTCTGCTCCGTATATTAATTTATTAAACAGACATATAATTTCTGCTCCATATATTTGTTTATTAAACAGACATCTAATCTCTGCTCCATATATTAGTTTATTAAACAGACATTTAATTTCTGCTCCGTATATTAGTTTAAACAGACATCCCATTTCTGTTCCGTATATTAGTTTAAACAGACATCCCATTTCTGCTCCGTATATTAGTTTAAACAGACATCCCATTTCTGCTCCGTATATAAGTTTAAACAGACATCCCATTTCTGCTCCGTATATTAGTTTAAACAGACATCCCATTTCTGTTCCGTATATTAGTTTAAACAGACATCTAATCTCTGCTCCATATATTAGTTTAAACAGACATCCCATTTCTGCTCCGTATATTAGTTGAAACAGACATCCCATTTCTGTTCCGTATATTAGTTGAAACAGACATCCCATTTCTGTTCCGTATATTAGTTTAAACAGACATCCCATTTCTGCTCCGTATATTAGTTGAAACAGACATCCCATTTCTGCTCCGTATATTAGTTGAAACAGACATCCCATTTCTGTTCCGTATATTAGTTGAAACAGACATCCCATTTCTGTTCCGTATATTAGTTTAAACAGACATCCCATTTCTGCTCCGTATATTAGTTGAAACAGACATCCCATTTCTGTTCCGTATATTAGGGTAAGATGAGCTGCCCTCTGAAGGACACAGTAGTACCTTTAAACTAATCTCTTAACACAAAGGGGGTGTCATAAAATAGCCTGCAAAAACTGTATTTTTCCTACTTTTTTGGGCACGAATACTTTTATGAAGTGTGTGTGTGTGTGCCTGTGTGTGTGTACAAGTGCGTGTGTGTGTTTGTGTGTGTGTGTGTGTGTGTGTGTGTGTGTGTGTGTGAGGGGTTCTAAATATATCCAGAGTAACCAGACCATGGCTGCTGTACTAGCTGATCTGTCAACTCTGTGGCTCCGTCAGAGTGGTGGAAAAACCACTGTAGGAGGAAATGCCTTGTATCCTGGAGCCTGGCCAACCGCTGGAGAGGAGCCACATGTCACAGAGCATCACACCATGGCCTTTTTAAACACACTGCTATAAACATGTGAAAAAGGGGATCCCGGAAAGGTCCGGTTTCTTATGTCGCTTCCTCAAAGAGCTTGAGAATGAATGCTCCGGTGTATGGGTTCTGTGGTAGCCAGAGAACTGTCTCTCCTCACTTGATTGGAACCATCTTAGCTGCTTGGTATTCTATTTCCCTGGAAGCTAACATGTATGAACTGAACTCCTACATTACGTTTCCAAGATGTCTGTCATACTGTGCTCCACAATGCTGCCATGATGATTCATGTTTTCACCTCCACTATACCTGCTGAGTGAAGCCTTGTCTTACACTACTCCTCTAGGCCCCTAAAAACAACCTTTCTCTCAGTGGACGAAGATTCTCTTTAGAATGAGGCTAAGAGCTCTAGCAGAGAGAGCAGTTCTCTGGGTTGTGTTCCAAATGCCACCCTATTCCCTATATAGTACACTACTTTTGACCAGAGACCTATGACCCCTGGTCAAAAGTAGTTCACTATAAAAGGAATAGGGTGCCATTTGGAACGCAGTCTCTGTGTGCGGTGATCCTCATCGTGCCCTGGTGGTGTTTCTTTTGAAGCAGGCGCTGACAAATGGGCAGGTGAATGGGCTCAGGCTATGACGACGATCCCAGAGTACAGGGGAATCAAAACAAGGCAGAGACCCTGGCCTGCAGGCATGCCTAAATGGAGTGTCAACACACAGACAGGAAGGAGATGAAAGATGACCATTTATCAATTCTGACAACCAGGAAGTAGATCTAGATTACACCAGAGAAATAGTGCACAGCACCTGTATTTTATTATTATTATCTTATTATAGCTCTATGATAATAATACGAGCTGTATCTGAATATGTCTGCGTATTACAACAACGTATTGTTGTCTTTCAATGGGGGCAAAACATAAAAACGCAGTGGCCATTCATAACAAACTAGGCTGGCTCTGAAGTTTATCACATTGCACAGACCCTGGCCTGCATCGGGACATGGATTCAGAGCTTGCTCTATTCACCAGTCCGCTTCCACACAACAATACAACAAGCCTGAAAATTGACTTATTTGTGTAAAATATATCACTAATATGTTCCAGTAAAACGACTCAGCGCTTCTTCAGAGTGGAGACGGAAGCTTAGGGGTCACACGCACGCACACATGCACGCACACATGCACGCACACTTGTACACACACACACATATATCTCTCTCTCTGGCAGTCTACAGTCTAATCGCCTTAGTTCTCTGGGTGGTTCTGTGGCAGACATGAAAGAGCAATCCTGCTTGATTTCTGGGGCCGTCTGAGGCTAAGGCTGTGGGTTGGAGAGAGAGGGAGAGGGAGAGGGAGAGACAGTGAGAGGGAGGGAAAGAGAAAAGAGAGAGAGACGAGATCGAGAGAGCGAGAGCGTGAATGAGACTGGAATATGCTCCGACCGCTCTCTTTCCTTAGCCCCCCTATAGATAGTCTTAGAGCTCGCTAAGATATCGAGGCAGAGAGCTGTCCTTCCTCTGATGTTTAAATCTCAGCGCCAGGCATCGCACACCAAGAAAGTCTGGGTTTTCTATTAGACACTCTTTCTGTCCTCTCTCTCCTCCAGGAAGGGCAGAACTACCAAGAAAAACAGTAGATTACAAATCTCTCTCTCCCTGGCTTTTAGGCTTGGTTGATATGTCAATGGCCCTAGGTAATGTGTCAATCCACCAATCTAAGACTGAATGATGTGGATAAAAGAGTAACTTCAGTAGAAATGCCTGGTTTTAATGTGTTGTTTAACATGCCTAGTATTGATGTGTTGTTTAACATGCCTAGTATTGATGTGCTGTTTAACATGTCTAGTATTGAGGTGCTGTTTAACATGTCTAGTATTGATGTGCTGTTTAACATGTCTAGTATTGATGTGCTGTTTAACATGCCTAGTATTGATGTGCTGTTTAACATGCCTAGTATTGATGTGCTGTTTAACATGTCTAGTATTGATGTGATGTTTAACATGCCTAGTATTGATGTGCTGTTTAACATGTCTAGTATTGATGTGTTGTTTAACATGCCTAGTATTGATGTGCTGTTTAACATGCCTAGTATTGATGTGCTGTTTAACATGTCTAGTATTGATGTGATGTTTAACATGTCTAGTATTGATGTGCTGTTTAACATGCCTAGTATTGATGTGCTGTTTAACATGCCTAGTATTGATGTGCTGTTTAACATGCCTAGTATTGATGTGTTGTTTAACATGTCTAGTATTGATGTGCTGTTTAACATGTCTAGTATTGATGTGTTGTTTAACATGCCTAGTATTGATGTGCTGTTTAACATGTCTAGTATTGATGTGCTGTTTAACATGTCTAGTATTGATGTGCTGTTTAACATGTCTAGTATTGATGTGTTGTTTAACATGTCTAGTATTGATGTGTTGTTTAACATGCCTAGTATTGATGTGCTGTTTAACATGTCTAGTATTGATGTGCTGTTTAACATGTCTAGTATTGATGTGTTGTTTAACATGCCTAGTATTGATGTGCTGTTTAACATGTCTAGTATTGATGTGATGTTTAACATGTCTAGTATTGATGTGCTGTTTAACATGCCTAGTATTGATGTGCTGTTTAACATGCCTAGTATTGATGTGCTGTTTAACATGCCTAGTATTGATGTGCTGTTTAACATGCCTAGTATTGATGTGTTGTTTAACATGCCTAGTATTGATGTGCTGTTTAACATGTCTAGTATTGATGTGTTGTTTAACATGTCTAGTATTGATGTGTTGTTTAACATGCCTAGTATTGATGTGCAGTTTAACATGTCTAGTATTGATGTGCTGTTTAACATGTCTAGTATTGATGTGTTGTTTAACATGCCTAGTATTGATGTGCTGTTTAACATGTATAGTATTGATGTGCTGTTTAACATGTCTAGTATTGATGTGTTGTTTAACATGCCTAGTATTGATGTGCTGTTTAACATGTCTAGTATTGATGTGTTGTTTAACATGCCTAGTATTGATGTGCTGTTTAACATGCCTAGTTTGATGTGTTGTTTTAAAATGTCTAGTATGATGTGTTGTTTACATGAATAGTATTGATGTGTTGTTTAACATGCCTAGTATTGATGTGCTTTTTAACATGTTTAGTATTGATGTGTGTTTTAAAATGTCTAGTATTGATGTGGTTGTTTAACATGCCTAGTATTGATGTGCGTTTAAAATGTCTAGTATTGATGTGTTGTTTAACATGCCTAGTATTGATGTGCTGTTTAACATGTCTAGTATTGATGTGTTGTTTAAAAGGCCTAGTATTGATGTGTTGTTTTTATGCATCAAACAGATTCCATTATTCAGGAAAGGTGTTTGAAGTACAAAGTAGTCTTAACAGGCAAGACATCTTGCCAAGTCTTCTTCCACAAGCGGGATATTGAAACACGAAACATTGGTTAATCTTGTTGGTTTTGTTTTGGATTATGCGACGTGTGTATGCATATTTGCTGTGTATTTCTGTAACAATTATTATCCATCAAACCTCTCAACCCTCTCCTCCCCTCTCTCTTCCCCCTCTTCCCCCCTCCAGGTCCCCCTGGGCCCCCAGGTGGGGTGCGTGTGGAGGAGATCAGGGACAAAAGTGTCCGTCTGATCTGGAGCAGGGGAACAGACAACCACAGCCCCATCTCTAAATATACCGTCCAATGCCGGGACTCATTCTCTCAGGAAGACTGGAGAGACGCCACCACATGTGAGTTAAAAAAATTGTAGACTGGTCAAATAAATACCCTAAATGTGCAGGTCTGGTCTTGCAGTTTGTGCCGCCACTTTTAGAAACCATAGCGGTGTCTCCTCTCCAAGCATTTCTGTCTCTCTCCTACTGTCCATCTATCCAATAAAATACATCCAATAAACACCATGAACACCAAAGACTGGTCAAATAAACTGGGAGCAGCGAACAGAGCCGGCTGTGGTGCCACTCTGACTGGCTAAGAGCTAGATACATAGATAGACACATGGTGGATCTCCTAAAGGAGCAAACCGTGCAGAGACTGAAACCACACATCAGTTCAGAACTCATGGAATGTGTCTTCACAGGTACCGTTTCATAAGTCCTATGGTGCTGTACTGTAGCACCGAAGTAATCCAACTTGTATGAAAAATGACGTCCACGTGCTGACAGCATTTAAACACACTATGTTATGCTGGTTTCTCTGATACTTCTCTGAAGTGATACTATGTGTTTCTATGTATCTCTGTCTTTGTAGCCCCTTCGGATGTGGAAGGCAATGCAGAGACAGCCATGGTGGTGGACCTGTTTCCCTGGACAGAGTATGAGTTTAGGGTGAGAGCCACCAACACCCTGGGGACAGGAGACCCCAGCAGCTCCTCTCCCAAAGTCACCACGTTGGAGGCAGGTAAGGGTAACGGAGGTGGTGCTGAACCACCATTGCATCCTGAGTCACCTTGCCTTAGTTCTGAAGTCTTGGCTACCCCAGGTAATGCCTAGGCATTAGCTCAGCAGACTAACACAGGGGATCTGGTATGGAACCACATTTGGCCATTAAAGCTGGTTTTGTTGCAAAATGTGCTAGAACACATCTAACTAAACCATGACAGATCAGATGCTAGAACACATCTAAATAAACCATGACAGATCAGATGCTAGAACACATCTAAATAAACCATGACAGATCAGATGCTAGAACACATCTAACTTAACCATGACAGATCAGATGCTAGAACACATCTAACTTAACCATGACAGATCAGATGCTAGAACACATCTAACTAAACCATGACAGATCAGATGCTAGAACACATCTAAATAAACCATGACAGATCAGATGCTAGAACACATCTAAATAAACCATGACAGATCAGATGCTAGAACACATCTAACTTAACCATGACAGATCAGATGCTAGAACACATCTAACTTAACCATGACAGATCAGATGCTAGAACACATCTAACTTAACCATGACAGATCAGATGCTAGAACACATCTAACTTAACCATGACAGATCAGATGCTAGAACCCATCTAAATAAACCATGACAGATGAGATGCTCTAGCTAAAGCCAGTGTGACATCGGTCCCATTTGAACAATATGGCGTTGCAGTTGGCAGCACTAGTGACATTGATATTATATTTGTAAAGCTGATGCTGCATCAGTGCTAGTGCCAACTGAAGGGTACAGTGTATGTTGTTTGGCATTGTGCCGTGTGCAAAATGACCCGTATTCACGAAGAGTCTCAGAGTAGGACTGCTGATCTAGGATTAGTTTGACCTTTTTTTTATCATAAAGAATATGATTATATGGACAGGCAGGACCTGATCCTAGATCAGCACTCTGTGATCAACTATCCTAGCTCAACACTCTGATATGCTTTGTGAATACTGGCCTGTGAATGTGAACTCAGAGCTTGGCATCTCCTGTCTCGTTGTAGTTCCCGTGGTGGCGCCCTCAGACATCGGCGGCGGTGGTGGGACCAGCAGGGAGCTGACCATCACTTGGACGGTAGGTCTAGCGAAGACGCCATCTTTATTTCCGTCTCTGCCAGTGGACTGTGTCCACGAACTCAGCTTTTCTCCTAAATCTGATCTGACAGCAGCCAGGAGCAAGCCAACGTAGACAAGCAAGAGCAGAAGTTTGATTTAAATTGAAATTAAACTACAGCACGCGCAAAATACATTTAGTCCTTGCAAGGCAGTGCAGAATAGCTATGTTAGCTATTTTTACATATGCTCTTATCCAGAGCAATTATTTTTAAGTACCTTGCTCAAGGGCACATTGACAGATTTTTCACCTAGTCGGCTAGGGATTCGAAACAGCGACCTTACGGTTACTGGCCCAACGCTCTTAATCGCTAGGCTACCTGCCACCCGTTCCTAGAGGAAGCTATGTTCCTGGAGGAAGAGGAGAGAACATACATCAGGCCACAGCACATCGATAACAGTACGGTTTGATGGATAGACTGTCAACCAGAAGAGCTTTTTTATCTGCCTTTAGTCTCTCACTTGTTTAGACTCACAATCACCAGCAAATCACCAGCAAAACAATAAGCTATAGATATCAACCATTAGCTAGCCTCCGTTTCTGTGCTTCCCACTTTGACAAATTCCTATAGTGCTCCTGGGCAGATTGCCTGGCAGCATCAATCCTACAGCAGTTGGTGGATGTGATGAGGCTTGTGTTTAAAGGTTAGCTGTCTGTGTGTGTGTGTGTGTGTGTGTGTGTGTGTGTGTGTGTGTGTGTGTGTGTGTGTGTGTGTGTGTGTGTGTGTGTGTGTGTGTGTGTGTGTGTGTGTGTGTGTGTGTGTGTGTTAGCAGTGCCTGATGCCTGTACGTCATGCGGGACATTTGGTTTGATGGGGCCTGAGCCAAGCTAGGAGATGAGGCAGGAGAGAGGAAGGACAGGCTGGTCTAATAAAACTAGGAGATGAGGCAGGAGAGAGGAAGGACAGGCTGGTCTAATAAAACTAGGAGATGAGGCAGGAAAGAGGAAGGACAGGCTGGTCTAATAAAACTAGGAGATGAGGCAGGAGAGAGGAAGGACAGGCTGGTCTAATAAAACTAGGAGATGAGGCAGGGGAGAGGGTGGACATGCTGGTCTAATAAAACTAGGAGATGAGGCAGGAGAGAGGAAGGACAGGCTGGTCTAATAAAACTAGGAGATGAGGCAGGAGAGTGGAAGGACAGTCTGGTCTAATAAACCTAGGAGAGAGGAAGGACGGCTGGTCTAATAAACCTAGGAGATGAGGCAGGAGAGAGGAAGGACGGCTGGTCTAATAAACCTAGGAGATGAGGCAGGAGAGAGGAAGGACAGGTTGGTCTAATAAACCTAGGAGATGAGGCAGGAGAGAGGAAGGACGGCTGGTCTAATAAAACTAGGAGATGAGGCAGGAGAGAGGAAGGACAGGCTGGTCTAATAAAACTAGGAGATGAGGCAGGGGAGAGGAAGGACAGGTTGGTCTAATAAAACTAGGAGATGAGGCAGGAGAGGGGAAGGACGGCTGGTCTAATAAAACTAGGAGATGAGACAGGAGAGAGGGTGGACAGGCTGGTCTAATAAAACTAGGAGATGAGGCAGGGGAGAGGGTGGACAGGCTGGTCTAATAAAGCTAGGAGATGAGGCAGGGGAGAGGGTGGACAGGCTGGTCTAATAAAACTAGGAGATGAGGGTGGACAGGGTGGTCTAATAAAACTAGGAGATGAGGCAGGGGAGAGGGTGGACAGGCTGGTCTAATAAAACTAGGAGATGAGGCAGGAGAGAGGAAGGACAGGCTGGTCTAATAAAACTAGGAGATGAGGCAGGAGAGTGGAAGGACAGGCTGGTCTAATAAACCTAGGAGATGAGGCAGGAGAGAGGAAGGACAGGTTGGTCTAATAAACCTAGGAGATGAGGCAGGAGAGGGGAAGGACAGCTGGTCTAATAAAACTAGGAGATGAGGCAGGAGAGAGGAAGGACGGCAGGTCTAATAAAACTAGGAGATGAGGCAGGAGAGAGGAAGGACAGGCTGGTCTAATAAAACTAGGAGATGAGGCAGGAGAGAGGAAGGACAGGCTGGTCTAATAAAACTAGGAGATGAGGCAGAAGAGAGGAAGGACAGGCTGGTCTAATAAACCTAGGAGATGAGGCAGGAGAGAGGAAGGACAGGCTGGTCTAATAAAACTAGGAGATGAGGCAGGAGAGAGGAAGGACAGGCTGGTCTAATAAAACTAGGAGATGAGGCAGGAGAGAGGAAGGACAGGCTGGTGTAATAAAACTAGGAGATGAGGCAGGAGAGTGGAAGGACAGGCTGGTCTAATAAAACTAGGAGATGAGGCAGGAGAGTGGAAGGACAGGCTGGTCTAATAAAACTAGGAGATGAGGCAAGGGAGAGGGTGGACAGGCTGGTCTAATAAAACTAGGATATGAGGCAGGAGAGAGGGTGGACAGGCTGGTCTAATAAAACTAGGAGATGAGGCAGGGGAGAGGGTGGACAGGCTGGTCTAATAAAGCTAGGAGATGAGGCAGGGGAGAGGGTGGACAGGCTGGTCTAATAAAACTAGGAGATGAGGCAGGAGAGAGGGTGGACAGGGTGGTCTAATAAAACTAGGAGATGAGGCAGGGGAGAGGGTGGACAGGCTGGTCTAATAAAACTAGGAGATGAGGCAGGAGAGAGGAAGGACAGGCTGGTCTAATAAAACTAGGAGATGAGGCAGGAGAGTGGAAGGACAGGCTGGTCTAATAAACCTAGGAGATGAGGCAGGAGAGAGGAAGGACAGGTTGGTCTAATAAACCTAGGAGATGAGGCAGGAGAGGGGAAGGACAGCTGGTCTAATAAAACTAGGAGATGAGGCAGGAGAGAGGAAGGACGGCAGGTCTAATAAAACTAGGAGATGAGGCAGGAGAGAGGAAGGACAGGCTGGTCTAATAAAACTAGGAGATGAGGCAGGAGAGAGGAAGGACAGGCTGGTCTAATAAAACTAGGAGATGAGGCAGAAGAGAGGAAGGACAGGCTGGTCTAATAAACCTAGGAGATGAGGCAGGAGAGAGGAAGGACAGGCTGGTCTAATAAAACTAGGAGATGAGGCAGGAGAGAGGAAGGACAGGCTGGTCTAATAAAACTAGGAGATGAGGCAGGAGAGAGGAAGGACAGGCTGGTCTAATACAACTAGGAGATGAGGCAGGAGAGAGGAAGGACAGGCTGGTCTAATAAAACTAGGAGATGAGGCAGGAGAGTGGAAGGACAGGCTGGTCTAATAAAACTAGGAGATGAGGCAGGGGAGAGGAAGGACAGGCTGGTCTAATAAAACTAGGAGATGAGGCAGGAGAGAGGAAGGACAGGCTGGTCTAATACAACTAGGAGATGAGGCAGGAGAGAGGAAGGACAGGCTGGTGTAATAAAACTAGGAGATGAGGCAGGAGAGTGGAAGGACAGGCTGGTCTAATAAAGCTAGGAGATGAGGCAGGGGAGAGGGTGGACAGGCTGGTCTAATAAAACTAGGAGATGAGGCAGGGGAGAGGGTGGACAGGCTGGTCTAATAAAACTAGGAGATGAGGCAGGGGAGAGGGTGGACAGGCTGGTCTAATAAAAAGGGTATCATAACTTTGGAATAAACAGTCTCTCAGAGACACAGTCGTCATGGTAACTAGAATAATATTATTTATTATATAAACACGTATTTAGAGTGATGATAACCCCTTATTTTGATTCTGGCCATTTTCTTGTCACTTAGCATAACTATCTCAGCAAGGATGGACCATCAAGAGATGACACCACCTGTCCATAGACAAAAAGGTCTCGCTTGTGTGGATCGTTGTCTTCCTTTTAATGGTCCATCTCTGTTTCCCTTTCCCTCTACCTCCAGCCGGTGCAGCCACAGTACTACTACGGGCGCAACTTTGGCTACATCATCGCCTTCAAGCCCCGCGATGGGTACGAGTGGAGGAAGGTGACTGTGGCAGACCCCGAGGCCAATCACTACGTCCACAAAGACTCATCCATCCCCGCCTCCACAGAGTTCCAGGTCAAAGTCAAGGCCTTCAACAGCAATGGGGAAGGACCCTATAGTCTCACGGCTGTCATCTACTCTGCACAAGACGGTAAGCACAGATCTAGGATTAGCTTACTCCTCATGGAAAGCCCAACCTTAACCATAGGTGGGAAAACAGAAAAACTGACCACAGATCATTATACTCTGTCAGCAGCATAGAGAGAGCCCCACAACTTCATATCACTCAGCTGTTTCAATCTGTCAGTGTAAATTACTTATCAGCACAGTGACTTTTTAATTGAGTGGGAAATACTTAATAACTACTCCCAAAGATGAATGTGAAGAATTTTAATACCCTTACAATGCGAACCCTTCCTACCCTCCCTCCCTCCAACTCTCCCTCCCTCACCTCCCTCCTTCACTCCATCCCTTGTCAGAGTGGGATTATCGTGATCTATGTAGCAGCATGAACCAGAAAGCTGATAATTCGCCCCAAGGATGTCAAGCATTTAGCCCACTTATTAACTTCAGCTGACAGACATTCAAGATAACCATGGGCAACCCGGGGTTACGGAGAGATGTTCAGTTGCCGTGGTAACGCTGTTTGGGAGTGTAAAAGAGGGCAGAAGTGTTAGGTTTGAGCCGAGCCTGATGACGTGTGTGTGAAGGTTTCTTGGTGTGCGATGCCTGGCGCTGAGATTTAAACATCAGAGGAAGGACAGCTCTCTCTCTCGCCTCTCTCTTTCTATCTCTCTCTCTCTCCTTCCTCCTCTCTCTCAACTCTCCCTCCCTCACCTCCCTCTCTTCACTCTCTCCCTTGTCAGAGTGTGAAGTTACGTGTCCATGGTCGCATAACTCAGAGGAAAGGTTGCGAGCAGAAGAGAATGTAGGGAAAGAGCACTTCTGTCACTGAGCTTGTTCTAGGCAAGATTAATGCCTATTAACAGAGCAACCCGGTTACCAAGACTGTAGAGCGGGACTGCATGGAAGGGTCAGACTGGGGTAACAAAGGGAAGTTAGGTAAGGGCGACCGATACTTATTAAAAGTGAAAGTTACTGTAGGTGGCGATATGGAGCGGATGTTTGACAGGGTACTCGCTCTCTCTTTCAATTCTTGAAGGGCTCTTTTGCATGGGAATGTTACATTCCAAGCAGTGAAGATAAAAACAATTCTCTCTCTCTCTCTCTCTCTCCTCTCTTCCTCTCTCATCTCTCCTCTCTCTCCTCTCGCTTCCTCGTCTCTCTCTTTCCTCTCTCTCTCTCTCCTCTATCTCTCTCTCTCTCTCTCTCTCTCTCTTCTCTCTCTCTCCTCTCTCCTCTCTCTCCGCCTCTTCTCTCTCTCTCTCTCTCTCTCTCTCTCTCTCTCTCTCTCTCTCTCTCTCTGTTTCTCTGTCTCATACTGTCTTAAATGATATCTCTGTGTGTGCCACCAGTGCCATCCGAAGCCCCTACCAGCGTGGAGGCCAGGGCGCTGTCTGCCACTGAGGCCATTGTGTGGTGGCTCCCTGTCCCCCAGCACACTGTTGAAGGATACCAGGTACTACTGTGTCTAGGAGGAGTAACATGACAGATATATTAGATAGAAGAGGAAGCAACCAACCCAGAGACCTCGAAACACTGGACTAACTCTTAGTTATGTCGCTGGAGTACTCATTGTATTTGCACCTGCATGGTCAGGTACATGATAGGGCCAGGACATTTTCCTGACCATATTTTCTTACCAGGAAATATTATCTTACCAGAAAATATTATCTTAGCAGGAAATATTTTAGGCCCTGTAATAGTATACACAGTATATTGACTTTCTGTGACCCTCTTCCCTCTCTCTCCTCCTCTCCCCCCTTTCTCTCCCTCTCCTCCTCTCTCCTCCTCTCCCACTCTCCCCCCTCCTGCCCAGGTGCGGTACTGGAGGAAGGTGGAGGACAGAGAGCCGTCCAGTCAGAGGGTGGTGGTGTCCAGCAGAGAGAACCAGACCAGGTTGGAGAACATGAGGCCAAACTCCCCCTACATCATAGAGGTCAGGGCCTACAATGCAGCTGGATACGGACCCCCCAGCCATCACTTCCAGATCTACACCAAAAAAGCCCGTATGTACATTGCTCTCAGGGCCTGTTCACTGGACACAGATGAAGCCTAGTCTTGGACTAAAACACATTTTCAATGGAGTTTCTCTATTGAAAGTGTGTCTTAGTGGAGGACTAGGCTTCATCTGTGTCTGGGAAACTGTCCCTCAGCTCAATAATCTTCAGCATGTTCTGAGTAGGCTTTGGCAATATACCGTTGATACCGTATACCAGGTTGTTTCAAAATACTGACGGTATGATTTTCAAAACTTTTTAAACAAAACACATTATTATTTGTATTACAGTTTTTGGGGGGGTTTGGGGCACCCCTGCCTCGCGGGGGGCTGCGTGCTACGCCGCTGCTTATAACTATAAGAAATCTAAGATGTGTCAAATAAATTATATCCAGCTCAGGGCTCCAGCTATGCATTTGGTTTGCTAACTTGCTAGCTAAGTGGCTAGATGTCAAGATCAAGTTTCTTGGTTACAGCAGAGACATTCAATCCCCTCCTGGATCAAGATGCCTGTTGCCTAAATAGTTTTGTGCGTAAATATAATAATAGTAATATAATAATAATATACTTTTTTATTTTGGGGGGGGGGGGTATAGTGCCCTTGTGTGCACTTCCGGTAAAACCGTATAAATCAAATCAAATCAAATCAAATTTTATTGGCCACATGCGCCGAGTACAACAGGTGCAGACATTACAGTGAAATGTTTACTTACAGCCCTTAACCAACAGTGCATTTATTTTTAATAAAAAAAAGTAAAATAAAACAACAACAAAAAAGTGTTGAGAAAAAAAGAGCAGAAGTAAAATAAAATAACAGTAGGGAGGCTATATATACAGGGGGGTACCGGTGCAGAGTCAATGTGCGGGGGCACCGGCTAGTTGAGGTAGTTGAAGTAATATGTACATGTGGGTAGAGTTAAAGTGACTATACATAAATTATGAACAGAGTAGCAGCAGCGTAAAAAGATGGGGTGGGGGGTGGGGGTGGGGGGCAGTGCAAATAGTCCGGGTAGCCATGATTACATTAGCTGTTCATGGCACAGAAACAGTATGACGGTATGAAACCCTAATTCTGAGTTTCTGATTGTCACATGATCTTTACACTGTAGAACTATTTGGCTTCTGTTTTTCTCCAGCCCCAAGCCGGCCTCCTAAAATAATCAGTAAAAAGCTGAAAGGCACGTCAGTCAACATCGCCTGGGAACATGTCGAACCCTTGGCCAACGAGTCAACAATAGATGGCTACAAGGTGGGTGCTGTTTTACAAATGCATGGAAGCTTGTAGTGCATTTCAAACTGAAAGTCTGTACTTTCGTAATAACTGATGTGTCTCTCTGGAGCATCCATCACATACTGTACATATATTTGACGTAACATGTTTCTTAGAGCCGCAGCATTCAATACACAACTGAGCTAAAAAGTACATCTTACTGAACACAACATACAGTTTACTCAAGTACCTTCCTTGTAGTCATAGCTCCTTAGAATGACCATATGAACGGATCTAATGCTGTCTGTCTGTCTGTCTGTCTGTCTGTCTGTCTGTCTGTCTGTCTGTCTGTCTGTCTGTCTGTCTGTCTGTCTGTCTGTCTGTCTGTCTGTCTGTCTGTCTGTCTGTCTGTCTGTCTGTCTGTCTGTCTGTCTGTCTGTCTGTCTGTCTGTCTGTCTGTCTGTCTCTCTCTCTCTCTCTCTCTCTCTCTCTCTCTCTCTCTCTCTCTCTCTCTCTCGTCTGTCTGTCTGTCTGTCTGTCTGTCTGTCTGTCTGTCTGTCTGTCTGTCTGTCTGTCTGTCTGTCTGTCTGTCTGTCTGTCTGTCTGCCTGTCTCTCTGTCTCTCTCTGTCTCTCTCTGTCTCGCTCTGTCTGTTGGTCTCCATAAAGGTCTTGTACAGAAAGGCTGGCCTCTCCACAGGGATGCTGTACACCACAGGGAAGCGGTCCATAGACCTGCCCATGCCCAAGGATGGGGACTGCGTAGTGGAGGTCAGGGCCCATAGCGAGGGAGGAGATGGGGCTGTGGCCCAAGTACGCATCTCAGGTAAACATCAATCAAAACCCTCCATCCATAGACTCCACTAGAGACCCTCCACCCATCTTATATGACTATAGACTCCACTAGAGACCCTCCACCCATCTTATATGACTATAGACTCCACTAGAGACCCTACACCCATCTTATATGACTATAGACTCCACTAGAGACCCTCCACACATCTTATATTACTATAGACTCCACTAGAGACCCTCCACCCATCTTATATGACTATAGACTCCACTAGAGACCCTCCACCCATCTTATATGACTATATACTCCACTAGAGACCCTCCACCCATCTTATATGACTATAGACTCCACTGAAAAAGTCATAGGCCTCCTGGTTGACAGTGACAAATGACTCTGGGTCTGGACGGCCATCTTTAAAACTGAAATAATCCTGCTATTTTATGACAGACAGGACAGCCAAGGAATGAATAATAGATTACACAATGCACCCCTCTGACCAGACATTTGAAATGGTGACCAGGCAGTTCACAAATGGCTTTTCAATGGAGTGGCATTGACATAAAAACAAGCCTTTATGAATGTAGGATGTGTGGATTGAGCAGAGAGAGAACTCCCTTCAAGAATAAATGTAGTGTCAGCCACAAGCATCAGCCAGTAATTTACATGTCATCGATCTGGCACTCATATTTTGCCACTGGGAAAAAACTGTCTCTCTATCGCCAGACAAATTCCAAATCCAATCTTTGGTTTATTGAGAACATGTCACACCATATCACACAGAGGGAGTGAGGGAGTGAGGGAGGGAGGGAGGGAGGGAGGGAGGGAGGGAGGCCTCTTAGAGTGGTACATAGCATGATATCATTAACCATGAAGGATGAAGACCTACACTAAGTGGTCGAAACGTTGTCGCCACTAAACCACATAGGAGCATAGATTGTTCTCTTTTTACCATTTGCTGAACATATTATTTGAAATCCACCACCTGCTCAAACACATTGGATGTGCATAAGTAATCTTCTCCTATCTCATGATACCATACACAAGATCCATAACGGAACAGACCACATACAGTTGAAGTCGGAAGTTTACATACACTTAGGTTGGAGTCATTAAAACTTGTTTTTCAACCACGCCGCAAATGTATTGTTAACAAACTATAGTTTTGGTGAGTCGGTTAGGACATCTACTTTGTGCATGACACAAGTAATTTTTCCAACAATTGTTTACAGACAGATTATTTCACTTATAATTCACTGTATCACAATTCCAGTGGGTCAGAAGTTTACATACACTAAATTGACTGTGACTTTAAACAGCTTGGAAAATTCCAGAAAATGATGTCATGGCTTTAGAAGCTTCTGATAGGCTAATTGACATAATTTGAGTCAATTGGAGGTGTACCTGTGGATGTATTTCAAGGCCTACCTTCAAACTCAGTGCCTCTTTGCTTGACATCATGGGAAAAATGTCCTCTGGTTTGATGAAATAGAACTGTTTGGCCATAATGACCATCGTTATGTTTGGAGGAAAAAGGGGTGCTTGCAAGCCTAAGAACACCATCCCAACCATGAAGCACGGAGGTGGCAGCATCATGCTATGGGGGTGCTTTGCTGCAGGAGGGACTGATGCACTTCACAACATAGATGGCATCATGAGGAAGGAAAATTATGTGGATATATTGAAGCAACAGTCAGGAAGTTAAAGCTTGGTCGCAAATGTGTCTTCCAAATGGACAATGACCCCAAGCATACTTCCAAAGTTGTGGCAAAATGGCTTAAGGACAACAAAGTCAAGGTATTGGAGTGGCCATCACAAAGCCAATCCTATGGAACATTTGTGGGCAGAACTGAAAAAATGTGTGCGAGCAAGGAGGCCTACAAACCTGACTCAGTTACACCAGCTCTGTCAGGAGGAATGGGCCAAAATTCACCCAACTTATTGTGGGAAGCTTGTGGAAGGCTACCCGAAACGTTTGACCCAAGTTAAACAATTTAAAGGCAATGCTACCAAATACTATAATAATAATAATATGCCATTTAGCAGACGCTTTTATCCAAAGCGACTTACAGTCATGCGTGCATAATTTTTTTTGTGTATGGGTGATCCCGGGGATCGAACCCACTACCTTGGCGTTACAAGCGCCGTGCTCTACCAGCTGAGCTACAGAGGACCACTAATTGAGTGTATGTAAACTTCTGACCCACTGGGAATGTGATGAATGAAATAAAAGCTGAAATAAATAATTCTCTCTACTATTATTCTGACATTTCAAATTCTTAAAATAAAGTGGTGATCCTAACTGACCTAAGACAGGGAATGTTTTACTAGGATTAAATGTCAGGAATTGTGAAAAACTGAGTTTAAATGTATTTGGCTAAGGTGTATGTAAACTTCCGACTTCAACTGTATACCTGGCTTGGCTGATATTCAGTACCTGGCTTGGCTGAGGTTACTGTAAAGCACTTTGTGACAAATGCCTCCCCACAATGTCTCTAAAACGTCTCCAACATGCTTTGTGTCTCTGTACAAATGTACCCACACATGATTGAAATGTTCCCATTTTGTCTCTGTGTCTCTGTAAAACTGTAATTAAATGCAATTAAATCATAATCGAAACGTCACCATTGTGTCTCTGTCTATCTCCATCCAGGTGGAGCCGTCATAGTCGCCCAGTCCCTCAGCCTGGCCTGTCTGCTCCTGGTGGGTCTGTTTTGCCTGCTGGGCCTCTGAATGTAGCCCCTTTATCTGTCTTCACTGCCCAGTCCAGTGAAGGAGACTCTGTGAGGTTGACGCCTATGACGACTTTGGTTTCCACAATGTTTGGTTTCACCCTGAAGGCCAAAAGCTCATGTTCCCACCTCGAGGAATAGGGCTTTGTTTGTGGAAAAAGACACAATAAGAAATTTGAACAAAGGACGAAGAAGACATCTGGAATATCTCTTAATTCATACCTACAATATCTTTGAAGGAGGAGCGTCAACAGGAAGTCTTTCAACTTTTTCAATATGCCTTATATGTAAACGATACACTTATCTTTCACAATGCCATGACTTGCTCCTAACATGGGTGAGGTGTGAGTGCTGAGGTACTGCACAACGTTTGTAAGTAACTGTTTTCAAAAAAGATTGTGATACAGGCCTTTCTTGTTGTGCAGTAGCTTCAAATTGTGTGTTTCATTTGATGTAGGACATTATGGATCATCTATACAACGTTGCATTCCATATATAAAGTATAAGCTAAGCAGGTGATATAGTTGTGAAGGATAAGTCTACACGTTTATGAAATTGTCTTTATAAATGTATGTTTCAACTGCATTTCAGTGGCTTTTTCTTTGTACTTTTCTATGTTCAAGATGAAGCACACCCTCCCCTTACAGAGATACAGTCAAATCAAATCTCTACTCATGGTCTAATTATCGAACATCATCAGACAAAAGAGCAATTTATGTCATGCTAATATAATATATGCAATAATTTATATGGTTGTTCTATCTAAAAAGTACAAATAGCCTACTATTAACGCTGTAACATCTTTGTTCCGAGAAACATTGATTTTATCTCCCAAAAAAACATGCTTATTTCCAAGTCATAACATTGTCTAAATTAATGGGAGACCAGTTTGCAAGTGTTTGCATGTATGAAAGAGTTTACTGACAAAACGAGATAAACTTGTTAGCCAGAGTGATGCCTGCATTTTTAGCACATGTACGTCTGTGTTTGTAAAGTTGAATGTATTGAATAACTGTGGAAACAAGAAATGAGCTTGAAAACGTACCAGACCTGCAGTTTCTAACATGACATAAACAATGTGTGACAGTGGTACATTTGGTTTGGTTGTCAGGACACCTAACTGTCCTGTGACCGTCGCTTTGCCACAACATGTGTCCAATGTTGTTAGAGTGTCCAATTGGAGGAACCATAATAAACTGAGTTTGGAATCATAAATAGAATTCTAGAATGGGTATTTTCCATTCTTTTTTTCTGTTCATATGATTCTATTGCTATGGTTGGAATATCCCACAAAAGAGTACATTTAGCACAACAAGTTGTTTGTTTTGACTGTATCGTTAAGATTTCAGTGGTAGGCTATACATGCTGGTGCTTTGTAAAGAATGTTGGCAAAGAATGTTGGCATCTTTTTCATGTCTTAACTCTTTCATATTTTTTCATCTCTTTATTAATCAATGTCTCAGTGTGAGTGTCACTGCTAACAGTTCTGCAGTAATACACACTCGGTCCAGTAACCGTACAATGTCTGTCTGAATCTTCGATGTTAATTTATATTTTATTACATATAACACAACCTGCCAAGCGCCTAAAACAGTTATGCTATTATTGTGTATCATTGTCCATAAACTGGTGCAAAGCATAAGTTAACAAAATAAACTATCAAAATCAATATCTGAGAATAACCATCCAAAGCTCATACATTTGTCCTACTATTTTTGCAACATTATTTTGTATTTTTATTAATAACATGAGTGATCAGAGTTATACTGTATATATCAATTGGTGTTGTTGTTTTTGTTTATGTTTGTGATTAATATATGTCATCCTTATGACCTGTCACTGGTTCAACAGTAGAAGTTTGTTATGGTCATTTCCCACCGAAGTGGAAAAATGATGAGTTTTTGATTTTGTTCAGTGTGACTGAGTGATGCTAGCCATGCTTCTACTAGCTCTGGTCCAGGGAGTTACGTGTGGCTTGCTAACGCTAGGCTCAGGTAGCTCCCTGGACCAGAGCTATGCTTCTACATGCATTGTGACTATATCAACAAAACATCCACCACAAAGTGATTTTCCCAGTTTCCCCTCATGCAACAAATCATCGAAAGAGTTGCCAAATGCATGAATGCCTTGAACTTATTTGTTATTTGGAAGGAAACGGTTGCTAAGAAAATGGTTTCTAAGGAAACGGTTGCTATTACTACATACTCTAACATGCATGACATTGGAAACGTATGGTATAGGCCTGTATGGTAAAAAAGCTCCATCCATACATTGCAATGAGTCAACGTACAGTCATACATTCAGGCAACTTCCTATCACCTCCATATGAACTCAATTGTGGTAAATAATAATAAACATTCATTCCGTCATGAGTGAAATCCCTTTATGTCAGAGACTGTGTATAATGTATGCATACTGTACTTTCTCTAGATAAGCCTAACATGTGCATTAGTTGCCTCATCAAGCCAGTCATCTCAAGGGAAAGTCTATGGAGGGCAGTTTGTTGTAGTTGTAAAATTTCTAAACCTTTCACTAAATTCCAAGATTTTTCCAGAAATCCTCAAACCAGAATTTCTGGGAAAACTGGGAATTTGTTTCTGGTCGGGGTTTGATGACATCACCGTTGTGGTTGATGATGCAGCAGTGTTTGGCTGTATAATGTTCATGCATTGCTCATACTGTAATGAATAGGAATCACACATGTTGAGAGGGAGGGGTGAAACTGGACTCTCATTGGCTTGACTTAAAAGGAACAAATAATAGTTAACTATTAATTGAAGGTGAATTGTCTTTGTTTTATATATTGAATGTACAGTTGAAGTTGGAAGTTTACATATACCTTAGCCAAATACATTTAAAATCAGTTTTTCACAATTCCTGACATTTAATCCTAGTAAAAATTCCCTGTTTTAGGTCAGTTAGGATCAGCACTTTATTTTCAGAATGTGAAATGTCAGAATAATAGTAGAGAGAATTATTTATTTCATATTTTATTTCATTCATTACATTCCCAGTGGGTCAGAAGTTTACATACAGTCAATTAGTATTTGGTAGCATTGCCTTTAAATTGTTTAACTTGGGTCAAACGTTTCGGGTAGCCTTCTACAAGCTTCCCACAATAAGTTGGGTGAATTTTGGCCCATTCCTCCTGACAGAGCTGGTGTAACTGAGTCAGGTTTGTAGACCTCCTTGCTCGCACACGCTTTTTCAGTTCTGCCCACACATTTTCTATAGGATTGAGGTCAGGGCTTTGTGATGGCCACTCCAATACATTGACTTTGTTGTCCTTAAGCCATTTTGCCACAACTTTGGAAGTATGCTTGGGGTCATTGTCCATTTGGAAGACACATTTGCGACCAAGCTTTAACTTCCTGACTGATGTCTTGAGATGTTGCTTCAATATATCCACATAATTTTCCTTCCTCATGATGCCATCTATTTTGTGAAGTGCATCAGTCCCTCCTGCAGCAAAGCCCCCCCACAGCATGATGCTGCCACCCCCATGCTTCACGGTTGGGATGGTGTTCTTTGGCTTGCAAGCCTCGCCCTTTTTCCAACAAACATAACGATGGTCATTATGGCCAAACAGTTCTATTTTTGTTTCATCAGACTACAGGACATTCCTGAGCGGTATGACGGCTGAATGGTCCCATGGTGTTTATACTTGCGTACTATTGTTTGTACAGATGAATGTTGTACCTTCAGGCGTTTGGAAATTGCTCCCAAGGATGAACCAGACTTGTGGAGGTCTACAAAAACATTTCTGAGGTCTTGGCTGATATCTTTTGATTTTCCCAAGATGTCAAGCAAAGTCGCACTGAGTTTTAAGGTAGGCCTTGAAATACATCCACAGGTACACCTCCAATTTACTCAAATTATGTCAATTAGCCTATCAGAAGCTTCTAAAGCCATGACATCATTTTCTGGAATTTTCCAAGCTGTTTAAAGTCACAGTCAACTTAGTGTATGTAAACTTCTGACCCACTGGAATTGTGATACAGTGAATTATAAGTGACATAATCTGTCTATAAACAATTGTTGGAAAAATTACTTGTGTCATGCACAAAGTAGATGTCCTAACCAACTTGCCAAAACTATAGTTTGTTAACAAGAAATGTGTGGAGTGGTTGAAAAACGAGTTTTAATGACTCCAACCTGAGTGTATGTAAACTTCCGACTTCAACTGTATGTAGCTACTGAAACTGGTCATGATGTATGAGAAAACTAAGATTATGACCTCAAGCTACAAGACCTTAAGTTATCAGTATTGAAAGATATTGTAGCTTGAAGTCTCAACTCTTTTACATATTGTAGTGACCTTAACACAATACATAGCGACCTCGTCAAGAGGTTCGGACCCCTTGGCGTAACAGTTAAGGTGTTGGTTTGACAGTTGCTGGACCTGGGTTTGAGTCACAGTTGAGGCTACCCACTGAATTTGCTACATTGTTGTTAGAAGTGGGATGGTGCCTGTTAGGCAATAGGAGAGGTGTGTATCTTACACTTGAGGGAGTAAGTATAGAGAAGCGTGAGGACACACTCTCCTGAAGGAAGTGGGTAAAGAAGCAACCTTAACACAACACCTAGCAAGCTTGTCAAGAGGTTTAGACCTCTTGGCTTAACATTTAAGGTGTTGGCTAGACCCGGGTTTGAGTCCCGATCAGGGCTACCCCCCGAATTCACTACAATATACTGTATATTCTTCTTCACTTTCCACAAAACATTGTTTCCTGGATAACACCATCTGGTCCAATATTAGGTCAAATGGACTTTCCCAATGGCATCACAGCAATCAATAACTGTGCGCACCTCTGGCCAAGGACGCCTTTTGGGAGAGCACAGGAAAATCAGAGCCAGGAAGTAAAAGTGAGTTTTAAATGTTTGTTAGACTGAGTCAAACAAACTTGTAAATTGCAATCGTATTTCCCAATAAATGTAGGCTTAGATGTGTCTGTGTGTTTCCTACTGAGTTGCAGAATGTGTTAGAAAAAGCTATTTAGAAAAGCTATTTAATTCCTAGATATCTCAGTGGGTTCTTAACTGCTAAGGGTGCGGGGTGGTCGGCTCTAGAACTGCTGATGTGCAGGCTTTGTACAGCCACCTTGGTATGCAATTGGAAAGCTCCATTGAGAAAGCAGTTTTTCCTCAGTAATACAGTTACATTGTGGCAGACCTTTTACTGCTGTAAACACACTTTTATCCACATTGCAGGTTTGGGATTGAGGACATTTTCATGGAACAAATCAAATTTAATCAAATTGTATTTGTCACATGCTTCATGAACAACAGGTGTAGACTAACAGTGAAAATGCTTACTTACGGGCCCTTCCCAACAATGCAAAGATAATAAAATATAAATAATAGACAAATAGAAAAATAATAACACAAGGAATAAATACACAATGAGTAATGATATACACGGGGTACCAGTACCGAGTCGATGTACAGGGGTACAAGGTAAATGAGGTAGACATGTACATATAGGTAGGAATAAAGTAACTAGGCAACAGGATAGACAATAAACAGTAACAACAGTGAATGTGATGAGTCAAAAGAGTTAGTGCAAAAAGGGTAAACACAGATAGTCCAGGGAGCTATTTGGTTAACTATTAGCAGTCTTATGGCTTGGGGGATAGAAGCTGTTCAGGGTCCTATTGGTTCACAGACTTGGTGCATCGGTACTGCTTGCCATGTGGTAGTAGAGAGAACAGTCTATGACTTGGGTGGCTGGAGTCTTTGACAATTTTTAGGGCCTTCCTCTGACACTGCATGTTATAGAGGTCCTGGATGGTAGGGAGCTCGGCCCCAGTGATGTACTGGGCCGTACACACTACCCTCTGTAGCACCTTGCGGTCGGATGCCAAGCAGTTGCCATACCAAGCGGTGATGCAGCCAGTCAAGATGCTCTCAATGGTGCAGCTGTATAACGTTTTGAGGATCTGAGGGCCCCTGCTGAATCTTTTCAGCCTCCTGAGGGGTAAGAGGCGTTGTCGTGCCCTCTTCGACTGTGTTGGTGTGTGTGGACCATGATAATTATTTAGTGAAGCTCTCAACTTGCTCCACTACAGCCCCATCGATGTGGATGGGGGCGTGCTCGGCCCTCCGTGTCCTGTAGTCCACAATCAACTCCTTTGTCTTGCTGACATTGACGCAGAGGTTGTTGTCTTGGCACCACACTGTCAGGTCTCAGACCTCCTCCCTGTAGGCTGTCATCGTCATCGGTGATCAGGCCTACCACCCTCGTGTCGTCTGCAAACTTAATGATGGTGTTGGAGTCGTGCGCGGCCACCCAGTCGTGGGTGACCAAGGAGTACAGGAGGGGACTAAGCACGCACCCCTGAGGGGCCCCCATGTTGACGGTGAGCGTGGCGGATGTGTTGTTGCCTACCCTCATCACCATGGGGACGGACCGTCAGGAAGTCCAGGATCCAGTTATAATATAATAATATAATAATAATATGCCATTTAGCAGATGCTTTTATCCAAAGTGACTTACAGTCATGTGTGCATAAATTTTTATGTATGGGTGGTCCCGGGGAGCGAACCCACTACCCTGGCGTTACAAGCGCCATGCTCTACCAATTGAGCTACAGAGGACCACATTGAGCTACAGAGGACCAGTTGCAGAGAGAGGTGTTTAATCCCAGGGTCCTTAGTTTACTAATGAGCTTGGAGGGCACTATGGTGTTGAACGCTAAGCTGTAGTCTATGAACAGCGTTCTCATGTACGTGTTCCTTTTGTCCAGGTGGGAAAGGGCAGTGTGGAGTGCAATAGAGATTGCATCATCTGTGGATCTGTTGGGGCGGTATGCGAATTGGAGTGGGTCCTGGGTGTCTGGGATGATGGTGTTGATGTGAGCCATGACCAGCCTTTGAAATCATTTCATGGCTACAGATGTGAGTGGTCACAGGGACTATGGTGGTCTGCTTGAAACATATAGGTATTACAGACTGGGTCAGGGAAAGGTTGAAAATGTCAGTGAAGACACTTGCCAGCAGGTTAGCGCATGCTCTGAGTACGCGTCCTGGTAATGCGTCTGGCACTGCGGCCAATGTTAACCTGTTTAAAGGTCTTACATCGGCTACGGAGAGCATGATCACACAGTCGTACGGAACAGCTTGTGCTCTCATGCATGGTTCAGTGTTGCTAGCCTCAAAACGAGCATAGAAGGTATTTAGCTCGTCTGGTAGGCTCGCGTCACTGGACATCTCGCGGCTGGGTTTCCCTTAGTAATCCGTGATAGTTTGCAAGCCCTGCCACATCCGACGAGCGTCAGAGCCGGTGTAGTAGGATTCGATCTTGGTCCTGTATTGACGCTTTTCCTGTTTGATGTTTCATCAGAGGGCGTAGCAGGATTTAGCCTTTAGCTCAGTGCGGATGTTGCCTGTAATCCATGGCTTTTGGTTGGAATAAATACCTACGGTCACTGTGGGGACGTCGTCATCGATGCACTCATTAATGAATCCGGTGACTGATGGGGTAAACTCCTCAATTCCATCCGATGAATCCCAAAACATATTCCAGTCTGTGCTCACGAAACAGTCCTGTAGCTTAGCATCCGTTTCATTGGACCACTTCTCCGTTTCATCGGAGCACTTCCGTATTGAGCGTGTCACTGGTACTTCCTGTTTGAGTTTTTGCTTGCTTGTAGGCAGGAATCAGGAGGATAGAGTTATGGTCAGATTTGCCAAAGGGAGGCCGAGGGAGAGATTTGTATGCGTCTCTGTGTGTGGATTAAAGGTGATCTAGAGTTTTTTCGCCTCTAGTTGCACAGGTGACATGCTGGTAAAAATCAGGTCAAACGGATTTCAATTTTCCTGCAATAACATCACCGGCCACTAGCTTATCATGAGGTATTCTAACTCAGGCGAGCAGAACCTCGAGACTTCCTTAGTATTAGATATCGCGCACCAGCTGTTATTAACAAAGAGGGCTACCATCTGATTGTGAAAACATATTAAACATTTTCACTAAAATATTCATAAAAAATGTTTTAACTCTGAACTCTTGCTTCTACATACATCATTTAGGAATGGTACTGTATCTGTTGATGGACTGTTTTTGTGGTAATTTCTCTATTTGAAATAACACTTTCTTCAACATGTCAGGAGAAAGCTGTCCCTTTTCACTGCCAGAGGGTAGAGCTGATGAGAGATGAGAGATATTGTTGCAACTCTGTTTTCCATTATAGATAACACAAGCTCTCTCAAGATAGTAGCCTATTTATTGATGCCAGAACCAGAAACAGCAGTCTACATTTTTTTTCTTCCCAACTTTTATCCAATAATGATTTCAGATAGCCCAACAAAGATCAAAATGATTGATGTCATTTCCCCTTTGTTCATAGCCTATCTATTGGTTAGATTTAGATTCAGATTAAGATAAAGAAAATTCCTGCTAGTCAAAAGGGCTTCAATAGTTCTTAGTTCTGCACACACATGAACATACAGAGGAGGATTATGGGAAAAGGAAGGAGATTAACAGCCTTTCCTTGAATGTGTTTCACATCAATTGGCTTATCAGCTAGAACATATGGCCTCTCTGTGATATGTCACCTCCCAGGTGGTTTTCTGGCAACTACACTGTTGTTGTTGTTTTGTTGTTGTTGTTGTTGACATCATTTGTTGCTACACCTCCTAAGGGAAATCAGATTGTCAGATTTACAGATACTTCCTACTGAGTTTAATCTGTAAAGAATCTGGAAGAACCAGAGTTCAAAAAGTAAACTTTTTTTATTTTCTTTTTTTTTATTGTGATGTACAACAAACTTTGATTGGCTCACTAGGAAGTTAATCTGACTGCCTTGGTTTGATTTATTGACAAGGAGGATTTGTATCATTGTTGAACTTTTTCCTCAAATGAAGGAGGAGGACCATGAGCAGTCTGGTCTGGAATCAACATACTGTTTATGAAATGTGATGTGACACTAGCAATGCTTGACTTGGACTGAAATAGGTGCCGGCACTAATTCTGAGTGCCGGTACTGTGCTTATATCTAGGTGCAGGATCTCTGCCGTACTTTAAGGCCCATTCTATAAGAGGTGCAGGAACTCAAGCAGTAGAAAATGTGAGGTGCCGGTATTCAGTTCCGGTGAGCTCCTGTCCAAGTCAAGCACCGGACACTAGACAGGGTAAAACAGGAGGCTGTTTCACTCAGACCAGTGGCAGCAGTAAACACTATAGTATATCAGAGACATATGGCCTAGAATAGTATACTGTATGTATTTCTCCAGACAGTTGGAAACATCCCAGGGCGGAGAATAACTATTGTCTTTGGAAATCTACACCTGCCAGCCTCGCTCTCTCTCTGACATGTCAGACGACACAACACACATCCAGAGTGATGCCACCTAGTGTATGTTTACTCCAGACACAGACTCAGATTGAAAGCCCTGAAACTTGATGCTCTCTCTCTGAGAGGTGCCTGTACTCTGTCATGCTGTCAGACAGTTAGACGGTGGGTAGACACAGGCCTACAGGATCAGGCTCACTTAGCGATCCCTGTACAGATATTATATTACAGAGATTTGCTGTAAAGAAGGGTTGATTAGTCATCATTGTGTCACATGCTACAGTGCAGCCTATTTTGTAGAGCATTCAAAATAAATTAGAATAGATAATGTATTCTTATTTTGAAATAATAAGGGTTTATATAGGTAGGTCTCTGTTTAGTTGTGGTAGTTGTGGTAATTCATCAAAAAGTCTGCAAACCATGGTATCTGAAGGCTTGGGAGACCTCTGGTGGTTCTATTGAAAATAATAAATGAATGGAAATCACTGTATTGTAGCCCACTATGTGTAAAAAATATTCAGTATTAGGCAACTACTAGCGTACCACCAATGTTTTTGTTTTTATGGATAGGGGAATGCATCCATGACGCAGTTTCTCTTGCTCTCTCAACATAATTGAGAATAGACAAGGCCAAGCAAGGATGAGTAGACTTGCCTACAACTCCAGCAACAAGTGGGAGGTGAAAAGTGATCCAGTCCATTTATAGTTAGCAAGGGACGTCGACCTGAAGCGCATATATTTCTATTGCCTGCGTAAATATAGGCTGCTTTGGGATTTTGATTTTACGCCCAGTCAGTATAGCAACGGTCTGCATCTCCATCAGTTTGTTCATCTACACCTGGCAAACTTCTGACACCTTTTTTACGTTGCCACTGCAGAGGCTGTATTCAACACCGTTCAACGCGACTCGGGACACGCGACGAGAATTGATCATGTGCGCCGACTGCCCAAATCCATGCAAGGACGGAGAAAGTTGCAGAAAGGTTTTCAACTCAGGCGAGATGGATAATGAGCCACGTATGATGAAAGAAGAAGAATCTGACTTTGACCACAGAGATGTTGGTATCTGTCAGAAAGGATGCGGGCTTCTCTTGTCCCATACAGACATTGTCCAGGGAAACCATTGCTGTTTGGATGCGCTTCGTATGCTGAATGATACGCTCCAGGAGAGGAGCGCTACCTTGGAGCATGAAGGCCGAATGCAGAGGCTCAGGTGGGGCAGGAGAGAGCAATCCCTCCTCGCCCAGGTGTCATTCATCCAGAGCGAAGCACAGCTGACTGCTTTGAAGTACCAGCGAAAGTTACACCAATACATGTTGAATATCAACAACATAGCCGAACAGGTTATTGGATATTACAAGCAGGTGAGGAATATTAAACAGTTGCAAGTATTGATTTTGACATAACATATTTCATAATGCCTAGGTAAGCTACTGTACTGTATTTGAGATGGGGACATTTTAAGTGACATAAATACTTGATTTTTCATCCATTATCGAGCAAAAGTGTTAGCTACATATGTGGTGATTATTCAAATAAGAAATAGAAGGCATTAATTGAAAAGTATACAGTTTTGACACCAAGCCGCCATCACTTTTCCCTTATGATAATGTAGCCTATACAGAGTGACTCGGGAGCCCCTGGAGTCTGTGTGTCCCAGGTGTCTGAACAGGGTCCAGCTGATGCTGTGTCCGAGCTCCAGGACCTGGAGGAGCATGGCGGCGTACCAGAGGTAAACCACCACAACACCGTAACTCAGGTGATTTTACAGCTGTACTGTGGCTTTACCTGCACAGCATATTACTCTTCTGTGAGGTTTAGGCTTTTTCAGAGCACATCATTGACTCCTTGTGACTGAGGGAATTCCGTCAGTAGCGATCATCAGACCTATTCTATTCAGCCTACTGCCAATACTTTGGCTTTCCCCCCATCAGACAACCCTTTGTTCAAACATTGACTTTACGGATCCCATCCACTGTGTATGGAATTGAGTGGTAGTGCTCTGAAGCTTAGGGAGAGTTTATAGACGGTAAGCTCAGTTCACACCCTTTCCTCTACCGTTTTGTGTGGTAAATGTCATGCTGAGAGTGTTTTGATGTCCTCTTTTATCTCTTCAGGAAGTAGGCTAGTTACATTTCATAGATGATAATAAAATAATGGCTTGGGGAATTATTATGTCACAATTTTCCAACCCAAAGCAGACCAAAAATTATGAATGGAAACAAACACAAAATGTGTTGGCTTATGCTTCACGAGGAGCGATGGGCCTGAGTAAGTACGTATGGAAATGTTACTTTGCTTCCAATGAATGGATAAATCAAAGTGTTTCACACTAACAGTAAGCTTGTCATTTAAAAAGTGTCTGTGGGAAATTCCATAGCTTTTACTGTGACCCTGTGATTCAAGCCCAGCCCTGGTCCTGACCTTTAACCTGTAACTTTTACACCGATGTGAACAGAGTGACAGACAAACAGTACATGACAAACTACTTCTCCTGCTGTGTTTTGTTCCAACTGCAAGTGAAACATGGCCCCAAAAAATTGTCTTTGATGGGTCACAGAGGATCAGGTGTATATCCTGGTCACGTCCATACAGGTAATTGTGGCTGTTTTCTGGGTGTTGGCTGTTTGATGGGCCTGGGAAACTGGACAACCAGCCAGTCAACTAAACACCCGATCAGATTTCATCCTAAATCATTACAATGATTGTTTGTTCAGATAGAGAGGAATGGGAGGGGAAGTTGTAATCTTGTTTTCTTTGTTTATGGGCTAATAAATGAATGCCTGTTACTTTGCATTTAGACTAATTCCCTAATGGAATATTCCCTTATTCCAATTTGCTAAATTCCTCAAGTTGTTTTCAACCCTTAAACTATGGCTGCACTTATAATTGTTTAAACTAACTGCTATTGAGTGAGTGTGGTCTAGGTGTTTTGGCCCATATTAAACCACCTCTCTCTTGGCCCCTGCTGTTGCTATCCTAACAATAGACTTGCTATCAGAGAGCACTCTGAGGTAGATTCTGTGGCCGCGTCCCAAATGGTTCCCTATTCTCTACGTAGTGCACTACTTTTTTACCAGAGCCAATAAATCCTGGTCAAAAGCTGTGCGCTAGGGAATAGGGTGCCTTTTGGGGACGCAGCATGTGTTATTTGGCTTTCTCTGGCCAGGGAGGCAGTGTTTTGTTTGGGGCCGAAGGGGAGAGGGGAGAGGGGAGAGTGTGGGTAGTTTTAATTGTGGTAATGGTCACATAAAGTATGTTTAATGGCCTCTAGCATGCTGTGAGAGTGCAGCTAGACTCACTTTTGATTAATAGAGGAAATTGTTTACTCTGCGCTGGCAGTTTTGGAGAGACACACACACGCACACGCACACGCACGCACGCACGCATGCACACGCACACACACACACACGCGCACACGCACGCACGCACACACACACGCACACACACACACACACACACACGCACACACACGCACACACACGCACACACACGCACACACAGATATTTCCAGACTTTTATCAAGGCTAAACACCTCCAGTCTCGTTTAAATAGTGTGTCTGTAATTGCCCTAGTCTCTGCTGTTGTTTTCATGAATGTGTTTGCCAATACCTGAGCTGCGTTGCTGCAAAGTCTATCCTACACTTTGTAGAGATCCCAAAGGAAGCCTTTGTCAAAGCAAAGGAATTGATTTTAGGTCTTACTCTGTAATGATGAGGAACTGTAGAGATACATACTATCATACTATTTAATTATGTGACAGGAACTGGTAAACATATTCTCAAGCTGTTAGGATTTACTGGTAAACCTGGTGGTGCTTTGTCTTTTATCGGACACTCTTCATAATCTCCATAATTGTAGTGTTGGCTGGCTCAGTCAAATTGGCTGTGAAGTTGTTGTTACACCTAACCAATGGTTAGAGCTCACTTGATTTGGAATGTTTGCCAACTGCCACCAACTAACTGCCAGTTTGAAATGAGCTAGAGACAGATGTGCAGGGTTTCTGTGATGGTAAAGTACCCTAAACACTTCTGGAGTGAGTCCTCAACCAACAGCACTAGTCCATGAGGAATAGAGTCTGTGCTGTGAGAGGGGGATTTCAAGTATAAGCCTGCCAAAGGCCTATCTCCTCATTGTCTCCCTGTGTGTGTGTGTGTGTGTGTGTGTGTGTGTGTGTGTGTGTGTGTGTGTGTGTGTGTGTGTGTGTGTGTGTGTGTGTGTGTGTGTGTGTGTGTGTGTGTGTGTGTGTGTGTGTGTGTGTGTGTGTGTGTGTGTGTGTGTGTGTGTGTGTGTGTGCGTGCGCGTGCGTGCATGTGCCCGTATTTGTGCGTGACAGAGTTAGTTTGTTGTGAGCAGTAATACTGTAAGTTTATATACAATGAGCCAGATACTATGAGTCAGATGGTGTTGTTTCCATGCGCTTTAGAACAGTCGATTTAGATGCTGCAGCTGATAGTCTTCACACTGGCCTCGCCCAGAGCATGAAGTCAATGAGGACAGTGAGTTCATGTCAGTTCTGTGTTATTGAAGAGGAATAACTGAAGCAAGATGAGCATGATTTGAACAGGCTTAGTCACTCCTGCCTTACAAAGGATCCGTATCCCCTACTAGAGAAGCAGACTAAAACTGTCTGAGGTTAAACATACTCTGTAGGACCATGCCGTCATTGTTATTCATAAGGATATGAGTCTGCCACTAGTATGGCATAGTTTGGATATGCTTCCTTGAATAGTCCTCTTCCAATAGCATACTTTCAGTGTTCTGGTTAGGACACATGTAATACCATTTTTATAACGATGTTATATTAAGTATTTCATGCATCCATCCACTTCAGTTTCATTAGCTCAGATTGTATCCTAACTGCTCTTGTCAAGTGGCAAGGGCCCATAGTTTAGTGTTGCTGATACAAATCAAATCAAATCAAATTGTATTTGTCACATACACGTGTTTAGCAGATGTTATTGCGGGTGTAGCGAAATGCTTGTGCTTCTAGCTCCGACAGTGCAGTAACATCTAACAAGTCATATCTAACAATGTCACAACATATACCCAATACACACAAATCAACATTTTTTCAGCCTCCTGAGGTTGAAGAGGCTGTGTTGCACCTTCTTCACCACACTGTCTGCGTGGGTGGACCATTTAAGTTTGTCAGTGATTTGTGGTACAGTAATGGTATTCTGGAGAGGTGGTATTGACTAAAACAAAGTACTATCAGGCCTTTTCACCTGGCGGAGAGTGATTCTACAGGAGTTGTAGCTGGTCTCATTGATACCGTAGCCTGGTGAAGGGAAGGCTGGGGAGGAGGTAGAGAGAGGAGATGGAAAAGGTCATTATGTTTAGGCCCAGAACAGAAAGATGACAGGAATAGATCTCTGTGACCAGAGAAAAAATTGATTTATCACCTTTACTTTCTAGTCGGCTGATAGGATAAAAAAATATTAAGATGATTGCTGATAAAAAAATTGATTTTCAATAGGATTTGTACCCCCTCAGTAAAAAAGATGTTGTCGGCTGTGTTTGGGTAGAAAGAATGTTATGCTGTTGCTTTGCTGAGAGACATTATCAGAGAATCATCACCTCAATGTGTTGTAACAGACAGACAGACAGACAGACAGACACTGGTGTCTCAGGGGTCACATCCATTGTGGAGGGATGCTGCTACTGGATGTCAAAGGCACATACTTACCCAGCTAAACAAGACAGCTTAACTGTGTTCTCTGACAGCACTTACATTCCCTGTGTCTACTTCCAACAGACCGAAGGTCGGCATTTAGATAACTCAGCAGGAGGGTGTTTTTGACATTTTGTCCTTTCAAAAATTGGTAGATGAAGAAAACGTTATACTTCATAGAACGCCCTTGTCAACAAGTGCATGGTTGCATAGCGTTGTAAATGTGGGGTACATAGTGTTACTGATGTAAGTTACAGATGCTTGGGGTGTTTTCTGTACCTGCTATACTCCGTTGCGATGGTCGTCAGAATGAGCAGGGTAACTGTTCACTCTAGCTCCTGCCCGTTGAAGGGACCGCCCCTCTATGGTATTTCCTACTTCCTGTATTGTTTGACTAATACGCACAACTGACTTCTAATTGGGCAGCTAGCAGCTAAAACAAACTTCCTCCTGGCTTTATTTAGATAGTAGTGCGGTAGTGAAGGGTAAGAGAAGGCAGTATATTGATACATCAGGTGTGTTACACAGTCGTTGAAAAGAAGATCCCGCACACTGGGCTTATCAGTATCACTAGTTGATTTCATCTTACGTATCGGACTCACTGCCTTCGTCAGAGAACTCGTGATTCTTCAGTACTCTCTGTCTTTTAATGTGCTGCTCGTGAAGGGTTAACTCAAATCTTAGATTTAAAAATTGAGCTAAAGAATTCTCAGTATTTCTTTCCTTGTCAGATTGGCCAACCTTCTGTTGTTCTTAAGCTTTGAGGCGTGTGGCCTTCTCATTAAAAGAGGCAGAGATTGAGATGGCATCTGGACCACAGAGAGTGCTGCTATGGAGCAGGACCACACCACCGAGGTCGTTCCCATGTCAACGGAGCCTTGGCTGTTGTGTTTGGTGGTGTGTGTGTTGACTCTGCGTCTCTTTTTCCTCCTTGGCGGCGCGTTGTGTGTGTGTGTGTGTGTTGAGGGCTGTTTTTTTAGGCAGGGGGTGTGAAACAGGAAGCTGTTCCACTAAATGCAACCTGGGTTGTACAGAGACAGGGTTTCTTTCTGCATAGAAAAGTCTTGGGCCGGGTGTTTTTTCGGTCCGACTATATCCAAACAGTAATTTATTTTTATTTTTATATACACTGAACAAAAATATAAATGCAACATCTTAAGTGTTGGTCCCATGTCGCATGAGCTGAAATAAAAGATCCCAGAAATTTTACATATGCACAAAAAGCTTATTTCTCACAAATGTGTTTACATCCCTGTTAGTGAGCATTTCTTCTTTGCCAAAATAATCCATCCACCTGACAGGTGTGGCATATCAAGAAGCTGATTAAAGAGCATGATCATTACACAGATGCACCTTGTGCTGGGGACAATAAAAGGCCACTCTAAAATGTGCAGTTTTGTCACACAACACAATGCCACAGATGTCTCAAGTTTTGAGGGAGCATGCAATTGGCATGCTGACTGCAGGAATGTCCACCAGAGCTGTTGCCAGATAGTTGAATGTTAATTTCTCTACCATAAGCCACCTCCAAAATCGTTTATTGAATTTGGCAGTACCTCCAACCGGCCTCACAACCGCAGACCACGTGTATGGCGTTGTGTGGGTGAGCGGTTTGCTGATGTCAACGTTGTGAACAGAGTGCCCCATGGTGGCGGTGGGTTATGGTATGGGCAGGCATAAGCTACGGACAACGAACACAATTGCATTTTATAGATGGAAATTTGAATGCACAGAGATACCGTGACGAGATCCTGAGGCCCATTGTGAGGCCCATTTAAAAAAAATCTGTATTCCCAGTCATGTGAAATCCATAGATTAGGGCCTAATGAATTTATTTCAATTGACTAATTTCCTGATATGAACTGTAACTATGAAAATCTTTTAAATTGTTGCATGTTGCGTTTATATTTTTGTTCAGTATAAGATCATCTTTGAGAACCAACAATCACCAAAATAAAAGCTAGACAGTTAGGGAGAATCTAAAATCCCCAAAATTATGCATTCAGTAGTATTTTTGTCATGGCATGGGGCCCCCATTGATTTTGTTATAACGTTTGAGTCACTCAGATAGCATAAGCCATGGTAAAATGTGTAGAATTGCAGGAAATTAGCTTTGAAACTGCTACATTTTGTCACTGCGGCTAATAGGAGGGCCTCTAAAATGTTAAAGTCGGTGACCGCACCAGTGGCCACGCCTATAGCCAAGCCCCCTTCACGCCCACCATCTAAGCCCCATTTTGACCCAGAAAAAATCCTGAGAGAGGGTTGCTGGGCTTTTGGCTTGAGCTTTTTGAAAGGCTCCTTTCAGCAGCTGGGGAGTTATTGGTTATTTTAGTTGGGGTGTAGCTCATGACCTGATCTTCAATGAATCACATCAGTTGACCCCTAAGAACTACCCTTTAAATCCACTTTGATGTAATACAAAGTTTGATGCTTGTTTATCAACATTTCTAAGATATGTGTGTGTGTGTGTGTGTGTGTGTGTGTGTGTGTGTGTGTGTGTGTGTGTGTGTGTGTGTGTGTGTGTGTGTGTGTGTGTGTGTGTGTGTGTGTGTGTGTGTGATAGTGAACCTCACCGCACAGCAAATTCCCTCTGACCTCAGACCAGAAGATTGGCCCGGCTTTCAGGTGCTCTGAGCTGAGGGAGTCCATTGAGTCTCCCATAGACTCTCCCCTGAACCTGGGTGGCATATATATATCAGATCAGAGCTCAACACCCATGGCTGCAGCATCCGGTAAAGAAGTCTAATGTCATAATAACGCAGTTTAAAGCCATTACATACTGTGAGAAATGAGCCCAAACTAACCAGGCAGTTGATTAACAGATTGAGTGACTGTATTTTGAGGGACTTTGTTATAGTGCCGGGAAGACCAAAAAAACTAACAAAAAAAACACAAGTAGCTGTGTCCGATGATATGCTTTTACCCCTCTGTAAACTGATGGCACTAAAGCGTCTACCTCATAGTTGTTCTCTGGTGAGACCAAGTTCAACTCTCCGTATGTCTATGCTGAGTAAACGTCTTTGACGTGATTCACAGACCAAATAGCTGCTGTGGTTGACTGTGAAACCCCCCACCCCTCAAGTCTCACTGCTGCGGGGTCCGTTAGTCATTGACCCAGTGGTTCTCTTACCGTCACAGAAACCTACACACTCTTACGGTATCCCAGACAGATGTGTGGCGTAATGTCCAGCTGTTACAGGAAAGTCCTGATTCAGTACACAAACACACAGCATGCTGCTTATCATCAAGGCTCTCTCAGCAGTGTGAAATTAATGTGTAATCAGGGCAAGATGTGGCCAGGCTTGCCTGGTGGGGAGTGTTGCCAGTGGGACGATTCTCTCCCGCAAGTGTCAGCATCGTTGAATGACATTAATTAGGCGAAATACCATCAAAATAAATATGTCTTCTCTGTACAGTATATAAACATTTACTTAAGCTCCAATCAGCAGCACCTCCAGTCTCAGACAGTCTCTCTGTTCAGAAGGAGGATGAAGTCCTAATTAGGTGAGGGTAAAGGAAACCTTTAGATGCAGAGAGACAGGGGGCACAGGAAAGTACAGCACATCGGAAGGGGTTGAAGGGAGGGATAAGCCAAGGTAGCATGCCATGTGCAGTGGGGGGTAATAGCCCATTAAGCTCTGCACAGTACTCCTGCCATCGGATCCAGGGGAAAGCCATCGGATCCAGGGGAAAGCCATCGGATCCAGGGGAAAGCCATCGGATCCAGGGGAAAGTCATCGGATCCAGGGGAAAGCCATTCGGATCCAGGGGAAAGCCATCGGATCCAGGGGAAAGCCATCGGATCCAGGGGAAAGCCATCGGATCCAGGGGAAAGCCATCGGATCCAGGGAAAAGCCATTGGATCCAGGGGAAAGCCATCGGATCCAGGGGAAAGCCATCGGATCCAGGGGAAAGCCATCGGATCCAGGGGAAAGCCATCGGATCCAGGGGAAAGCCATCGGATCCAGGGGAAAGCCATCGGATCCAGGGGAAAGCCATCGGATCCAGGGGAAAGCCATCAGATCCAGGGGAAAGCCATCAGATCCAGGGCAATCCCTGCTTTGAAAACCGTCTTTACTTCTACTTCATGTTGAAGGCTGGTTAACCCTCCTGAAAACTTCTTCCACACATTGCTGAATGAAAAGAGGTGAAAACAACATCACACTTGGTTTTGATAGGCTTTCAGTTACCCCGGCACATCAGAGGAAAGACTTAGAGAGAAGCTAGCTATCTTACTTCATCCAAGTCTGAGTGAGAGGGTTTTGTCGGAACCTGTCGTAACCTCTTGTGAGGCACACAGGTTAGGTTCCTCTGTGTTTCCGTAGAAGTAAAATATACTCCTTCTTAACTGTCTGATGAAGTGTTTCCTCATCAGCTTCTTCAGTTTTCTCTCTACAGGAAGTTTCATTCGACCCCTGTAAAGGAAGACATGTAGCTTCAAACACAGTCATCCCTCACAGCTTCACAGGCATCTGCCTCGCCATGTCTGCCCTCCATTAACAGCAACTAATGAATACTAATGAATACTAATGAATAAGCATAGGCCTATTATTTATCCTTTCAAAGAATCCTTCTAGTCCCACAAGTTGAGGAGAAAGAAGCGAGTTTGAACAATAACAGTGGGGAAGTTTATACGGGCGGTTTGACAGATCTTCATTCATCAATAGTGAAATGTGTGTGTGTGCGCGCGCGCGTGTGTTTGTGTGTGTGTTTGCCTGTGTGTGTGTGTGGGGAGGAGGATTCCTCAATCACAACCCACCACTGGCAGCTCTGTATTGTATGGCCTTGTAGGAGGAAATGAATAGTGACAAGCTTTGTGTGTGTTCTTATTTTAATCGTATTAAAGCCATATAGAGCTACCTGATTTAATCCCCCTTCTCTTTAGCTTGGCTGCTGTGGAAAAGGAACAGGAGCTGTGATGGATTCTCTGAGGGGATGGGGGGTGAAATGATGAATATTCATCACGTAGAAACAGTCATATTGTTTCATAGATAGGCCCTCTTGTCTTTTGATCATTATTATGCTAACACTCAGGTAAAGACAGGAGGAGGAATACCTTTTACTGGTTATCAACCAGTTCCAAGTAGCTGATTAGGTTGTCTGAGATTGGAAGTGACTGCATTCAGCAAAACATTTTAGTTGTCTTTTCAAATTTAACCTGGGGGTCTCTTCTGGTAAAGTGTGCCCATCAGCGGAAGTATTATGTTTGGTCCATCAAGTGTGCATTTGTGTGTGTGTGTGTGCCAACATGCATTTGTGTGTGTGTGTCTTTATTTAGTTCGTTTTTCTGCTTGCATGTCTGTGCTTGAGTGTGTTTTCTCTCTGGGCGGTACATGTACGTCAGTGTTTCTCTGCTCCATTTCTCCCTAATTGACCTCTGCTGCTCAGGGTGGGACGCAGATAGATATCTGCTTGTGTGTTTGTGCTGAGTCACCACAGTGAGGTCACAGCCCTAAAGTTGGTACCAGGACACCGCCAACAGACAACCAGGCCAAACTCTGATAGGATCAGATTGGATTATAGCCAATCAGATCCAAATCATTTTACTGCACCAATTCTGCCTCCAACGTTGAGATCGTATTGTTCATTTTATGTGTGTGTAATGTGGTTCTTATTATATGTCATTTGTTTAGTAAATGGTTATACCCTGAACCAAGCCATCCTGTATGAGTCTGTTTTGAATGAGGTAGGTAGTGTGACTACAGTCTTTCTCCAGCAGATGTCAGAATACACATATGTGCAGGGGAAAACCCCAGTCCTCACTGGAAGGTATAGCTTGGGTTTTGTTACACTGGTGAGCGTAGAGAGGGAGACAGATTGCATTCTAGGAATTTAATTACTATTAGGGGCTGGGATTGTTCTGGGACTGTCTGCACGTCTGACAGCTGGTAACATTCTTTCCATTTATATGTATATGTTTATTAGTGGTTTAGTACAAGTAACTATGTTTGGCTACTCTATGGCAGCACATGGGTTGGTTAAGCCATTGGTTGGTTAAGTTCCAATTGACCAGCAGTAATTAGTTTCCTCCGGGTTAGGCATGATGAATCCCAGTGATGATTTGTCCGTGATTCTCTTCCCTCATCACTGTAAATGGCTGCAGAGTACAGTTGTGCTGGTGAATCAATAACCCTAGACTATCAGAGGTTGAACGCTCACAGATTACTGATGAGAGTGATTTGCAGTGTGTGTGTGTGTGTCCAGCAAGCTTGTGAATGTGTGTGTGCGCACGTACATTTGCGTGTGTGAGGAATGGGTGGTTTTGTTCTGAGATAATGTGTTGGCTTTCCTCCGAAAGTTTTCCTCTTAACAAATTAAAGAAATGACCTCCGCCGGCAGGAGAAAGGCCTAAAATCAATGTTTCTTACAGATCTGTAGTTGAAGAAGAGGCTCCTGTTGCCTTGCGGAGCTTTAAATCAATCAAATCAAATAAAATTGTATTTGTCACATGCGCCAAATACAACCGTGAAATGCTTCCTTACAAGCCCTTAACCAACAATACAGTTTTAAGAAAATAGTTAAGAAAATATTTACAAAAAAACTCAAGTAAAAAAAAAAAAAAAAAAAAAAAACACAATAAAATAACAATAATGAGGCTATATACAGGCGGTACCGGTACCGAGTCAATGTGCGGGGGTACAGGTGGGTCGAGGTAATTTGTACATGTAAGTAGGGGTAAAGTGACTATGCATAGATAATAAACAGTAAGTAGCAGCAGTGTAAAAACAAAGGGGGGGGGGTCAATGCAAATAGTCCGGGTGGCCATTTGATTAATTGTTCAGCAGTCTTATGGCTTGGGGGTAGAAGCTGTTAAGGAACCTTTTGGACCTAGACTTGGCGCTCCGGTACCACTTGCCGTGCGGTAGCAGAGAGAACAGTCTATGAGTTGGGTGACTGGGGTCTTTGACAATTTTTTGGGCCTTCCTCTGACACCGCCTAGTATATAGGTCCTGGATGGCAGGAAGCTTGGCCCCAGTGATGTACTGGGCCATATGCACTACCCTCTGTAGCACCTTACGGTCGGATGCCGAGCAGATGCCATACCAGGCGGTGATGCAACTGGTCAGGATGCTCTCGATGGTGCAGCTGTAGAACTTTATGAGGGTCTGGGGACCCATGCCAAATCTTTTCAGTCTCCTGAGGGGGAAAAGGCGTTGTAGTGCCCTCTTCACAACTTTCTTGGTGTGTTTGGACCATGATAATTTGTTGGTGATGTGGACATCAAGGAACTTGAAACTCTCGACCCGCTCCACTATAGCCCCGTTGATGTAAATGGGGGCGTGTTCAGCCCTCCTTTTCCTGGCTCTCTGTAATTGGCTTATAGATGGATGCACTCCGGAGTAAAAAAACAACATTTCGTAATTTTTTTGTCCATTTATATTTCCCTTCTTTGATTACTCCATCTATTACCATGTTGTCTGCAGCACTACTTGTCCTTCAAATGTAATCCCCCTTAGACAAGTAGAGTGTGAGTTGGGAGAATTGGTCCTCCAGTCTGGTTCACATTCGCCATCATGCAGAGGGAACCTATAATGTGCTATTCCCTTCAACTTGCTTCAGTTTACTTTAACAGTATGTTTAGGAGGGAGTGTAATTCATCTTATTAGCTAGACTGTTCAAGTAGTGTTTGATTTCTCTCCTTCTCCCGCTCTCGCTCTCTCTCTCTCCTGCTCTGTTTCTCTCTCTCTCTCTCTCTCTCTCTCTCTCTCTCTCTCTCTCTCTCTCTCTCTCTTTCTCTCTCCCACTCTGTTTCTCTCTCTCTCTTTCTCTCTCCCGCTCTCTTTCTCTCTCTCCCGCTCTCTTTCTCTCTCTAACTCCTTTTCTCTCTCTTTCTAGTTTTAATGCCCTTTAATTGCCTATCCTTCCTTCTGCCTCTCCTTCTTACTACCATCATCCTCATCATCATTATCATCATCATGTAGCATGTGGAAACACAGAGAAACACCATAAATCCCAACTGCACTGATGTGTATGTTTGCACTCTCCATAATTAATGGGAGAATAGGCAATCTAATGATTAATACAGGGCTCTCAGTGTGCCATGTAGGCTACTGTATGTGAATGCCGACGTCGGTAATAAAGCCCCTTTCTAGTGTGTGTGTGTGTGTGTGTGTGTGTATGTGTGTGTGTGTGTGTGTGTGTGTGTGTGTGTGTGTGTGTGTGTGTGTGTGTGTGTTCTCTATGTATGTAGATACCAATGTGGATAATAAAGCCTCCTCTCTCTATTGTTGTGTGAGGCCCACAAGGAGAACCAGAGATCCCGGTGGATTAGCCCTTGTGGCCAGGTGATAAATCAGCTGTCTCCGGCAGGGGGGGCTTGGTGCGTATCCTGGCACTGTGCCATATGGCAGAGGGGCAGGGGGGCAGGGCACATAGAGTGCACCCCTGAACACCGCCTACTCTCCTGGGTTCCTTTTTAATCGCCACAAATGGGCACAGAGAACAAGTGGCAGTATTTCTCTCTCTGGCGGGTCGACGCTATGCGAGCGCTTCCTGTTGTTTTTTATGATGCAGAGCTGTCAGGATTTCCAACATAATTGGAAATTCTATAGGGATTTTATGATTCTGTCTACTCTATTGAAGAATAGTAAGGCTGGGAAATATCCTCATATTGGTGTGTGTGTGTGTGTGTGTGTGTGTGTGTGTGTGTGTGTGTGTGTGTGTGTGTGTGTGTGTGTTTGTGCATCTGTGATATCCTCATATGTAGCCTGCCACAGCCATACAGGCCGGGTGGTTGATATAGCAGTGAGGGGGTCTAACTATCAGATAATGTACCACCAGCCAGGCTGTTTACACCTGATTAATGTGCAGAGGGCCGAAGCCTGGGGCTAAGGTGTTCTCTGAGCCCATCTTCACACACTCAGTTGGGGGATAGTAGAGTGGAGACTCACCCCTGCCACTGATGTGATGGATGCATACTGTCATAAATTTCCATACATTCACCCCAGAGTCTAATGGGTAGAGGTCTTGTTTGGCCTCGAGGAGTGGAGGATAGGGTATGTCTCTTGACCGTCGATCAACTCATGATGATTAAAGATGTTGTTGTTTTTGAATTGCTAGTTATTTGTTGTTGTTGTTGTTGTTGTTGTTGCTTTATAAAAGTTGAATAAATTATAATATTTATTGTTATAAATGGGTGATATCCTTTCCATAATGTGGTGCTGTTTAATAACTTGCCTATAGCTTTCAATGTATTATCTGTAATAAGTGTAGCATTCTGATGTACGGTTGGTGTTTAATATTCTAATGGCAAGTTCAAGAGCCTGCTAGGTGGAACTGCTTCACATGGAGGGAAACGTGCCCCACGTACTGAGAATTACACACACACACACACACACACACACACACACACACACACACACACACACACACACACACACACACACACACACACACACACACACACGTCCACACACACTCACTTAAAGTGAGCAACAGTCTCGTTATCTCTCATTTCTGCTAGAGCCCCTCCTGTCGATACGAATGTTCTAGTGCCGTGGTAACGCGAGGAGAGAACAGACCATACATCCGCCGCCCAGCAACGAGAAGCGAATAGTTTTTACCGTTCACGCTCTGAATGCTCCTGATGCCCTATCGGAGGAGACAACGACCGGAAATCAGCTCTGATCTCTCCATCCTACCATCCTCAGCCCTGACTGTGTAGGAGGAGAGAGGAGAGGATGCTTCTCTCAGATTCCCTCACTGTTTGTCTTCTGTTTTCCCTCTCTTTGGTGATGTTTCTCTCTGTTTTCTCTCTGTGATCCTTCACCAAAACATTTCTGCCGACCGCCGGCCCACTCTTCTCTCCCCCATCCTCCTCTCCTCTCCCCCATCCTCCTCTCCTCTCCCCATCCTCCTCTCCTCTCCCCATCCTCCTCTCCTCTCCCCATCATCCTCTCCTCCCCATCCTCCTCTCCTCTCCCCCATCCTCCTCTCCTCTCCCCCATCCTCCTCTCCTCTCCCCATCCTCCTCTCCTCTCCCCATCCTCCTCTTCTCTCCCCCATCCTCCTCTCCTCTCCCCCAGCCTCCTCTCCTCCCCATCCTTCTCTCCTCTCCCCCATCCTCCTCTCCTCTCCTCTCCCCATCCTCCTCTCCTCCCATCCTCCTCTCCTCTCCCCCATCCTCCTCTCCTCCCCATCTCTCTCCTCTCCCCTATCCTCCTCCTCTCCCTCCTCTCCCCATCCTCCTCTCCCTCTCCCCATCCTCCTCTCCTCTCCCCATCCTCCTCTCCTCTCCCTTCCTCCTCCTCTCCTCTCCCCCTCCCTCCTCTCCTCGCCCCTCCTCCTCCTCCTCCATCCCCCATCCTCCTCTCTTCTCCCCATCCTCCTCTCCTCTCCCCATCCTCCTCTCCTCTCCCCCATCCTCCTCTCCTCTCCCCCATCCTCCTCTTCTCTCCCCCATCCTCCTCTCCTCTCCCCCCATCCTCCTCTTCTCTCCAGCAGCATGGGGCTCTTCTGGTTTTCATGTTGTCACAGTGGAAGTCGTTCAATATTCATAACAATACATATGCATGAGGCCTGAGACAAACACACACATTGTCTGGATGTGTTGTCACAGGAGACCCTCTGGTGTCACCAGAGGAACGACAGACTGACAGCCCAGCACTCTACAGGTACACGTCTGGCAGTGGAGGGGGGGACAGAGAGGGATGGTGTGTTTGTAGACTTGTGCGTGCGTGCACATGCATTGGTACGTGTGTGGGTGACTTTGTGTCACAGTCTGCGGTGTCTGTGTTCACACTGTTCTGAGGAAGCACTGCACCTGTTTCATGTGTCTGTTCTGAGGCAGCACCTGTTTCATTTACATTTACATCATTTAGCAGACGCTCTTATCCAGAGCGACTTACAAATTGGATTCATGTGTCTGTTCTGAAGCAGCACTGCACCTGTTTCATGTGTCTGTTCTGAGGCAGCACCTGTTTCATGTGTCTGTTCTGAGGCAGCACCTGTTTCATGTGTCTGTTCTGAGGCAGCACCTGTTTCATGTGTCTGTTCTGAGGCAGCACTCTACCTGTTTCATGTGTCTCTTTTGAGGAAGCACTTGTTTCATTTGTCTGTTCTGAGACAGCACCTGGGCTTCAGCTGTTTAGTGCCAAAAATAAGGGATTAATTACATGAATTAAAAAAAATGTATAATACATCTTTCCTGATCTTCCTTAAATTTACATTTACATTTTAGTCATTTAGCAGACGCACTTATCCAGAGCGACTTACAGTTAGTGAATACATCTATTTTTATACTGGCCCCCCGTGGGAATCGAACCCACAACCCTGGCGTTGCAAACGCCATGCTCTATCAACTGAGCTACATCCCTGCCGGCCATTCCCTCCCCTACCCTGGACGACGCTGGGCCAATTGTGCGCCGCCCATGAGTCTCCCGGTCGCGGCCGGCTGCGACAGAGCCTGGATCTCTCAGATATAGGACAGACACTTCAGAACAAACTTCCTTTAGATTTTTTGGGGACTATCTGTTGTTCCATGTAGTGAATCTGTTATTCAATGCGTTTGTATGAGCTAATAGCAGTAAGGCCCAAAATATTTTTTCAGAAAATAATTTTGTAAATATAGATTTTTATACTTCAAGGGGTCTGCCCAGGAGCTGTTTTTGTGTGGTGTTAACTGCCTTGATCAAGGGCAAAAATACAGATTTTTCACCTTGTCGGCTTGGGGATTCAAACTGTGAACCTTATGGTTACTGGCCCAACTCTCTGACTGCTAGGCCACCTGCCACCCCTGTCCTTGTTGCCCTACACTGTTACCACTCTTGATGAATAATTAAAGACGTGGATAAGAGACCCACAGTACAATACAACACAATACCTGAAGGAGAATCTCATTTCAAGGACTTTACCGTTGTCTGCCTGCCACGTTTGGTTTAAACAGACAATGTTACTTTAATGGTACCTTTGTCTCTGTGTCTCTCTGCCAGACATAGAAGCCACAATGTAAGTATGACAGTCACATATACCCTGTCATCTTATCTGTGTTTCATATGCACTGACTGTCAGTACCATAGTGGATCACTGACTGTCAGTACCATTGTGGATCACTGACTGTCAGTACCATAGTGGATCACTGACTGTCAGTACCATAGTGGATCACTGACTGTCAGTACCATAGTGGATCACTGACTGTCAGTACCATAGTGGATCACTGACTGTCAGTCCCATAGTGGATCACTGACTGTCAGTCCCATAGTGGATCACTGACTGTCAGTACCATAGTGGATCACTGACTGTCAGTACCATAGTGGATCACTGACTGTCAGTACCATAGTGGATCACTGACTGTCAGTCCCATAGTGGATCACTGACTGTCAGTCCCATAGTGGATCACTGACTGTCAGTACCATAGTGGATCACTGACTGTCAGTACCATAGTGGATCACTGACTGTCAGTACCATAGTGGATCACTGACTGTCAGTACCATAGTGGATCACTGACTGTCAGTACCATAGTGGATCACTGACTGTCAGTACCATAGTGGATCACTGACTGTCAGTCCCATAGTGGATCACTGACCTTCAGTCCCATAGTGGATCACTGACTGTCAGTCCCATAGTGGATCACTGACCTTCAGTCCCATAGTGGATCACTGACTGTCAGTACCATAATGTATCACTGACTGTCAGTCCCATAGTGGATCACTGCTTGAGACTCTGGGGCCATGAATGGAAAAGTATGTGTTGTTCTGTTTGTGTTGTTCTGAAACAGCAGAAAGCACATCATATAGCCTACCGGCACATTCTCTTTGGGATCAATTTAAGGTTGTTTTTCCAATCTGATGCCTTGGAATGGATTGTTTCAACATGTTGGTAATATGACTAGCTTGACTTATTCTTTTTCATTTCTAGAGGAGCAAACAACCTTAACAGTGCATCTCCAGCGAACCCTGTTTTCATTTTTCTTCATTCGGTCTTCCCCCATGCTTTTTATTAATTGGTAATATAATGTTGTGTTGGATCATCCAGTTGTATCTTGAAGTCATCATGGCAGTAATTGAAGAAGTGTTATCATCAATGCAGTCAATGTGTTCTGAACCATTGGCAGGCCACCTTTTATGACATCACGCTGCATTGTTAATGTATTGTGTGTGCTGTTCCATCATGGGGCCATAAACACTGGCCCAGTCAGCAAAACTTCCATCATTAAGACACATTTAAATGTAATGATTTATTGATAGCTGTTTATGATTTGTGTGCATGTTTGCACTCATTATGGTTTTATTTCACAGCCTAGGTCTGGTGTGTGAGATTGGAGGGCCCATGCAGGTTAACAGCCATCTAAAGAGCATTGTTAAAGATCGGGTTGGGTGGTATCCAGATTTCCATATCTTTATACCAGGCTTGTTACACCCCGGGATACACGGTATTACCGGTAGTGCACACAAGGGGTGCTATATATTTTTTTTCGAATGAATAGAAAAAGGCCAAAAAGGTAATCTACAAGAATGCTAACAAAATGCTAACAGGTACTAAGGAATCCACATAGCGGATGCAAGGTAACTACTATGAGACAACCCAGGTCTTAAAGTTATGCAAGTAGCTCAAAACGCAGTTTGCAGCACGCACAAAACATAAATATTAGACAGCAGGGATCTTAATCCAGGAGGGTATTGTCTCTGCTGCTGTTACTAAGAAGCTTGATCTTGCGAGCTAACGTTTGCCACTTAGCTAACGTTAGAAAGTTAGCAAAACCCAGCTGGAGAGAATTTATTTGGCACATCTTAGATAATGAACTTAATAGTTATAAGATATATAGCTGCAAACATTAGTAGTGAATTGTGTAACTTGTGTAACTTGATTATATCACTTAAGTTGCACTGTAGGAGTGACTAAACTCACAAAGCTCCCATTTTGCTTCTTTGTAAACAAACACACTTGACTGTCTGAAACAGCTGTTTTGGGAAACTAGTATCGATAAGCTTCATAATGAAAAATTTTCTAACAAGCGAAATTATGAACATGATCTGTTATATCTATTACCTAGTGCACAAGTTTGACTGAAGGTATTTATTTAAAAAGTACAAATATTCAAATGTAAAAAAAAAAACGGTATTGACGGTATTGGAAAAATCATACCGAGGGTATTTTTTCTAAATCCCCGGGATACAGTATATATATTATACCGCCCAACCCTAGTTGAAGAGACTGTAGGAAATGAGTGTCTCCTCGTGGCTGTAATGGTGTAGGGGGGAAGGGTGAGGTTCATTCAGAGGAGGGTGATAAGGCAGCAGGTAGCCTAGTCTTTAGAGCATTGGACCATTAACTGAAAGGTCACTGGTTTGAATACCTGAGCCGACAAGGTGAAAAATCTGACGATGTGCCCTTGAGCAAGGCACTTAAGCCATATTTTCTCCAGGGGTGCCATACAGCTATGGTTGACCCTGTAAAACAAAACATTTGGAAGTGTGTCCAGGTCTTGCCTACCTTCTAGGTCAAGCGCTGATCATTAATAATATATGCCTTTTAGCGGACACTTACAGTTATGCGTGCATACGGGTGGTCCTAGGAATCAAACCCACTATTCTGGCATTGCAAGCGCCATGCTATACCAACTGAGCTAAGAGGACCACGTTGCAAAATGAATGCAATGCCAGAATAGTGGGTTTGGTAACAAATGAAAACAAACACATCAATTCCAATCAATATCTTGTAGTTCAAAAGCTATTAATTAAGCCGATTTTAATATGCATCTTTCTAAAAATGTCATGAAAGATTTGCTTGTAGAACTTAAACCACATTTGGTCAGAGTAACTGCACTCACAATTAAGGGATGATTTCATGGGCAGAGTAGTATTTTATTGACCATTTTTATTGAGGGCGATTTGATGGCGCTCCAGTGAATATCTCCTGCTTGACATTTGCTACGGACCCACGATGATAAAGCTGTTGAACCACTACGTTTTATGGAAGACATTTTTGTTCACTTAAGGTTTTATTAGACTACACAAAGCAAAGGCACTGAGCAAGCTGCTTGTTTGGCGTGCCCACCGACCGACCGACCAAAGGCACTGAGCAAGCTGCTTGTTTGGCGTGCCCACCGACCGACCGACCAAAGGCACTGAGCAAGCTGCTTGTTTGGCGTGCCCACCGACCGACCGACCAAAGGCACTGAGCAAGCTGCTTGTTTGGCGTGCCCACCGACCGACCGACCAAAGGCACTGAGCAAGCTGCTTGTTTGGCGTGCCCACCGACCGACGCCGACCAAAGGCACTGAGCAAGCCTGCTTGTTTGGGCGTGCCCCACCGACCACCGACCAAAGGCAACTGAGCAAAGCTGCTTGTTGGGCGTGCCCACCGACCGAGCCGACCCAAAGGCACTGAGCAAGCTGTCTTGTTTGGCGTGCCCACCGACCGACCGACCAAAGGCACTGAGCAAGCTGCTTGTTTGGCGTGCCCACCGACCGACCGACCAAAGGCACTGAGCAAGCTGCTTGTTTGGCGTGCCCACCGACCGACCGACCAAAGGCCATGGCTCTATCCCAAATGGCACCCTATTCCCTATATAGTGTACTACCCTATGGGCCCTGGTCAAAAGTAGTGCACTATATAGGGAGTAAGGGGCTATTTGAGATGTAGCCCATCACTGTATGAAGCTGAGTAAATGTCATTAAGGAATGAAGAGCTATCTGGGGGATAAATTAGACT